GGGCTGGCACCCCGGCATCCCTTTGTCAGACCCCGCTTTCTGAGCAGGGGACCAAGAGAAGAGAAGAGCTGCCTTTTGGGGGCTGACAGGAAGTCAGGCTGAGACCCCTAGGACTCGCAGTGTGTCCCCCAGGTCTTTGTTGTTGAGGTCTTTGTTGTGGGTGCCCTAGTCCTCGGCCGTGTTCCTGCCCCCCAAGGCCCACGTCCTCTCTCTCTGTCTCTCCTGGGCCCGGCTGGAGATGATGGGGTGGGAGTAATGTCAGAGTTTCTCAGGCCCACCCCTCCTGTTTGGAGCCAGTTGGGGCGGACCCATGTAACAGCACTCCCTGTGTGCCAGCCTCTGTGTGAGGCCCTTGGGCATTCGGTACCATCACCAGTCCATTCTACAAATGAGAAAACCGAGGCCCAGAGAGGTTAATTAACGTACCTCAGGTCACACAGCTCCTCTGATGTGGAGCTGGGGTTCTCGCCTGTTTGGTCTCAGAGCCTGTGCTCACAACCACTAGGCTGCCCGGCCAGAGGCTGGGCCCTCTCCCACCCTGGCATTTCTTTGCCTCGTGTGGCTTCTTTGGCACACGTGTCTTCCCTCCCCGCAACATGGGCTCCCAAGGGACCCTGCGTCCATCTTGTTTGCTTCAGCACTTCACCTGGTACCTGGCACGGGCAGGAGCCCAGTGGGCACCTGTTGGATGGCAGCACGGGAGCCTTAGGCTGGGGCCTGTTTTCCTGTGGTAGAAACAACACAGCAAGGTTGGCCCCCTTCCATGTGCGAAGTTTCTGGATTTGTAAGGAGTTTTTTAGCCACAAGGTCATTTCACTGCCAGAACAGGCCGGGGAGTGGGGGAGTGTTTTCGTCCCCATCGCTCAGGTGAGAAATTGAGGCCTGAGAGGCAGGTGACGTGCCAAAGCTCAAGCAGATGGGACTAGGGACCCCAGGGTTGGGGGCCAGACCCTGCGGTTCAGGGTGGGCTGTATTTGACTCAGTTCGTGAATTTGGGGTTTGAGTGTCCGCTGTGTGCCAGGCACTGTTGGGTCCTGAAAGCAGGGCAGCGCGTGGCCAGATATCGGCCTTGGTAGAGGCATCACGTGATCAGGCAGCGACAGGCCAGGGGCCCTGTTCTGTGGTGGGAAGTGCAGGCACTGAGTCAAGGCTGGGCAGCCCTCCTGGAGGAGGTGGCAGCTCAGCCTGGCTCTCAAGGGCCGGTAGGAGTTTGCCAGGCAGAGGGAGTTTGGGGGTGGGGAGGTAGGCAGTGCTTTTAGACTGTCTTAGCCTGGAGATAAAAGGGTGGGGCTTGTTTGGGGAACCGAAATAAGTCAAATCACACAGCCGAGAAGAAGGTCTCAGGAAGCCCTGGAGGAGTTGGTTGGCTGGGGGTGAGCAGGACGGGGCTCGTTGTCTTTGGGGTCGCGGACAGGCGTGGGGAGCCCTGGTGGAAAATCCCAGGGGAGGCTTGGGTTTGGGGGGCATGTGGCTGCCGGAGACTGAGCCTCCATCACGGCGACTTCCTGTGCCCAGCGGAGCCTGGAAGGAAGGGGTGCCCAAGCAGGAATGGGGAGCTTGGGCTGGGGGGACAGCCGTGGGGAGGGGCTCCCGAGCCCCTGTGTTTGTGGCTTCGGAAGCCGGGCTTTTAGGGGTGCGGGGGAGGTCGGCTGGGGCCACTTCCCCTGCAGAAGGGCTCTTCCGGGCTCTGGGCTGGGCTTTACCAGGCAGCCCTCCCGCCCCTGTCCCCCATGTGCCCCTTTGACCTCGCACAGTCCCCAGGAAGCCTTGGGGAAGGGGGGTCTTAGCATCTTGGGTTAGGGCCGGGCACTCTTGGTGGCTGGTGTGGCGGGAGTCCGAGGGAGGACCTCTTGGGGAGGCACTGGCTTTGGGAGCCAGACTAGATAGACAGTGATGCCTCACGGGTGCTGGGGAGGCCACGGCCCCGACAGGGCCTGCTGAGCTCTGCGTGGAGGTGCCTCTCCATGTGCCTTTCCCGCTGCCCTCTCTGTGGCTAGCTTCTCTGGTAGTCTCAGTGAGAAGGGACCTCGCACACCCTGGGGGCCTTCCCTGCCCCTGGAGGAATCAGGCCCAGAGAGGGCCAGAGGCAGAGCGGGGCTGGACCTTAGGTCTCTATCCCCCGCACTGCTTTGCTTATGTCAGGTGGGGAGACTGAGGCAGGGGGCACTTCGCAGCCCTGTGGGAGAGGCAGGAAGTATGACAGGAGGGTCTTTCCTGGTTGGTATTTAGTGCCTTTTCCCACTTTCTCTTCCCCAGGGCAGATTGCTTCCCCAGCTGAAAACTGCCCTAGGGCAGGGCCTCCTCCAGTCTTCCCCGAATGCTACCCTGAAGGCCAAGGTCAGGGCTGGTTCCTGTGCGCCCACGCAGCCCAGCCCAGGGGAAGGTGGAGGCGGGGGAGTTGGGGCCCAGCTTGAGGGAGCTCCCAGGCTCTCAGAAAAGGGGCAGATCGTGGCCTCTGTGGGCCACAGTTGCCTAGGGAGTCTTCTTGGGGGAGGATCCCTGAGCCGAGTCTTGGAGATGCCAAAGTCAGCATTTCCCCAAGAGGATCCCTTAGAGATTTAATGCAAAAAGGGCCTCGTGAACCAAAAAGACTGGGAAATGCTTAGCTGTGTTCATTAATTCAGCAGCTTGCTTTCCTGCAGGACTTCTCAGAACCTTGAATTTGCTAATGTGCACAGGGTATCTTTAGAGAAGGAGGAAGAGAATGCGAAGCCCAGCACTGCCTGTGACCAGAAACTGGTGTGCGTGTGGCTTTTCACGGCCCTGCTGTTGGGCAGGGCACACCTCAGGAAATGCAGACGCAGGGTTAGGAAGGAGTCTGGGCCTTGGAGTGGGCAGCTCTGAGTTTGAATCCCAGCCAGGAGGCTTTGGACGAGGAGCTTAGGATCCCGGAGTTGGTTCCCCTGGCTGGAAACAGAGGGAGAGCACCCTTAACCCGCCCTGGGGGTCTGGATGCAAGGACCTTGCCTCTTCCCTGCAGGTGCTTGGAGGCTGATGGCAGGGGCGCCTCCCGTCGGGTTTCCTGCCCTCTGTCTCCCAGTTGGGTTCAGGGTGTGCAGAGCGTGTCTGGAGGGCCGGGCGTTGTGTTTCCTCTCCTCTCCTCTCCACAGCCCTAGAGGCCTTGGGGTGAGGACCCCGTGCTGCCTGGAAGCTCTCTCTGGCTCAGGCCCACCTTCCCGCTTTCCTTGACCCAGTGGACAGCTGCTCCCTTGAGGTCCAGCTAGGCTCTGCGTGGGCGTGTGAGCCCACGCGATGCTGATGCTGCTTGTACCCCAGAAAGCAGTCCCAAGTTCCTGACACTGCTGTATCCACCCCAGAGGCTAGGCCACTTCCAGAGCAGGGAGGGGGCCGGGGTGCCTTGACCTCTTTGGTGCCGAGGCTCATGACAGAGTGGGCTGAAGGGGAAGGGGCAGGTTCTGGGCCCACCCACAGCCCTTAAGGCCCTTTCTGCCAACTTGGTAGTACTTGTCGTCTTGACCTGGCGTGTTGTGCCAGGTGCAGCCCCCTCCCCGCCCCCCGCCACCGTGCTCTGCTTACATCACCTCCACTGAATCCCCTCAAAGCCCTGGGTGGTCTGAACGTTATTCTCCCTTTCTTTCAAATGAGGAAAGTGCGGCTCAAGGAGGATAAGTAACTTTTTCAGGGTCATGCGTCTTAGACCTGATGGACCTGGGGCTCGTTTTCCTTTTCTTCTTCTTTCATTTATAGGCTCTATTTATTTTTTGTGTATTCACATACATATTTTATAAATTTTTTAAAAAAAATTATTTATTTATTTTTGGCTGCGGTGGGTCTTTGTTGCTGTGCGCGGGCTTTCTCTAGTTGTGGCGAACGGGGGCTACTTGAGGTGCACGGGCTTCCCATTGTGGTGGCTTCTCTTGTTGCAGAGCACGGGCTCTAGGCATGCGGGCTCTAGAGCGCAGACTCGGTAGTTGTGGCTCACAGGCTCAGTTGCTCTGCGGCATGTGGGATCTTCCCGGACCAGGGCTCGAACTCGTGTCCCCTGCATTGGCAGGTGGATTCTTAACCACTGTGCCACCAGGGAAGTCCCCACATACATATTTATATATGTACACACACACACACACACACACACACACACACACACCCCGACAAACATGCCAGGAACACATCTTTCCATGTTAATAAACTTAGAGCGTCACTTCAATGATCAGTCGCTTTATATTGCCCTTTGAGTTTTTCTGTTAGGGTCGTTATTTTTTACTTTATGTATTTATTTAAAAAACGCTTTATTGAGGTATGAGTGACATACAAAAAGCTGTGCATTTTTATTGTATACAACTTCATAAGTGTGGAGATAAGTATACACCCGTGAAACCATCACCACAATCCATGCCATAAACGTGTCCCTCACAGCCTAAATTTTCCTCCCCCTTTTAGTTTATCATTATTATTTTTAAGATAACACATAAAATCTACCGTCTTGAAAAAAATTTTTTTAAATATATTTTTATTTAGTTTTGGTTGCATTGGGTTTTTGTTGCTGCATGCAGGCTTTCTCTAGTTGCGGCGAGCTGGGGCTACTCTTCGTTGCGGTGAGTGGGCTTTTCATCGCAGTGGCTTCTCTTGTTGCAGAGCACAGGCTCTAGGCACGCGGGCTTCAGTAGTTGTGGCACGTGGGCTTCAGTAGTTGTGGCTCGCAGGCTCTAGAGTGCAGGCTCAGTAGTTGTGGCACACGGGCTTAGTTGCACTGCAGCATGTGGGATCTTCCCGGACCAGGGATTGAACCCATGTCCCCTGCGTTGGCAGGCGGATTCTCAACCACTGCGCCACCAGGGAAGTCTCTTGAAAAAATTTTAAGTATTCAATACAGTGTTGTTAATGATAGGCACTATGTATATGGTCGATCTTGTTTTTTCTACTGAAAACTTAAAAAAAATTGCATAAGCTACATTATAACAATAGAAATAGAAACTGAAAATGAGGAGGAGTAAGATTCGTTCACTCTGACAAAGCAGCAGTTTTGGTGTTTCTGTGTCCTGGTTCAGTCCTAATCCATTCTAGGCGTGACCTTCACCATGTGCATTTTTCACAGGATACCCTTCCACAGTATGGTTCAAGCTGCTGCATCTTTTAGATAGCTGCATTGTATTCCACTGTAAGAACGTATTGTGATTTATCTTCCCCAGACTGATAACACATATTGTTTTCAGTGTTTTGCAATTACAAATAGTGCTGCAATGAATAATTTTGTACATATGTCAAATTTCACACATGGTGAAAGTGTTTATAGGATAAATTACTTGATGTAGGTTTGCTAGGTCAAAAGGTGTGTGTGTGTATTAGTGAGTCTGTTAGATATGATGAAACTGCCTGCCCCAGACGTTGTGCTGAATCACACACCCCCCAGGGGTGAACGTGAGTGTCTGTTTCCCCCCCGGCCTAGCCAACACAGATTTATGAAATGCTCTGATCTTTGCCAATTGGGTAGGTAGATATGGTTTTCCATAGTAGTTTTAATTTGCATTTCTCTTGTTATGGGTGAGGTCAGCTTCTTTCCAAATATTTAAGAGATTTGTATTGTCTTTCTGTGAACTTTCTGTTCATCCTCTTCTCCCATTTTTCTATTGGGTTATTGTTCTTTTTGATTTGTAGGAACTCTTTACATATGAGGGAGATTAGCTCTTTAGGGAGATAAAAATTGCAAATGTCTCCATAATCTCTTGCTCATCTTTTGATTTTGCTTTTGATAGTTTTTACTATGTAGAAAAAGAATTTTTAATTGTAATCGAATTTATCAGTCTTTTCATTGTGGCTTTTAGGTTTTGTGTCAGGTTAGAAAGGACTTACTCACTACAGCATTATATGAGAATTCTTTCATGGTTTCTCGCTCTTTGGAAATCATCCTGGTATAAATTGTGCCTCCAGCTTTCTCTCCCTCCTCTGGGCTCTGCTGACTTTTTAAATAGGCAACTTAGCAGTGCAGAAGTTAAGACTTAAACCTAAATCTTTCTTGCTCTTTCCAGGACAGTGGCTACTCTGGGTTAAATCTTCTGTCACCAGCAGAACCACTGTCTGGGTGGGCCGTGGGAAGCCCAGTGTTCTGCCATCTTGGGCAGAAGTAGCACCACATGAGGTCCCTGAAGGCCAGCTAGACTTCCCCTTTCTGTTCTTTGTTATCGAGGGGAAAGGGATCAGGAATGAAACATGGGCATGAAAGTTTTCATTCTAAAGGGGGAGCCTAGTGAAGATAGTACTTAAAGGAATGAATAACTAATGGTGGAATTTCAGGCAAGAGTTGGGGGAAGATATAGCTGTTCTTTCCAATATGGGAACCTGGTTGTTTAGTTGGTCAGTTAGTAAACATTGTTGCCTGAACACCTCCTGTGTGCAGAGCCCTTTGCAGACACCTGGGGGAAGGGGGCACCAAGGTCTGCCTTCTGAAAACTTGTGCCTGGAGCTGAGTTTCCTCTTGACACACAGAAGGTGTTAGTGCACATCTCCTGAAGGAGTGAATGCGTGAATCTCTGTCAAGATGCGTGAATGAATAGATGAACTCTTCCCAGGCAATTACTAACCATCATTAGAATTGGCACAGGAGATGGCAAACTGGATTTATTATCCTTGGCGGCTGGAGCCTTGCGGGGGAGGGGTGACAAGGTATTTGTGTTTTAGAGGAGAGATTGACTAGGGTAATGCCTAATCCAGAGGAAGAGTGGAAGGGAGGATTTCAGGAGCAAAGAACAATTCCCTACCCCACCCCTGGAATTAGCCCTCTGGGGCCAGATGGCAACACGCAGGCTTTTCAGCTTTTCCTCAGTTCTCTTTGTTTCATGATTTAACCTCCGTTCCTAGCCCAGCCCAGAGCTGGGCCTCAGAGATTTGACATAACCATCTCCTTTGGCAGAGGGAAAACCGAGGCCCGGATCAGGTAAGGGTCACAGAACACGTTAGTGGCAGAGCTGGGACTGGAACACAGGTCTCTAGACCCCAAGACTGAGTGACAGCTTGTGGTCCCTAGAGGCTGGGGTAGAGTCAGCCTGGGAGTTCTTGGGGAGCAGGGCTGTCTGGGGGCATATGCTATTGGGGGCTTCGGCTTTTGCTCCTGCCTGGTGGCTTTGCAGACTGTCGCCAGGAGGTGGGGAGATAAAGTGGAGGGTTGTTAGGGTCTCTGCCCCCCGTGCACCTCTGTCTCTCCTGTTTGGACCTCATGGTTGGGCTTCCTCAGCTCTAGGAATTGAGCCTTCCTTCTGGGCGCATTTGCTATTTTGTCCTCACAAACTTGGCCTGTTGGCCGTGAGGACCTGCGCCTCGCTCTCCCCCGAAGTTGGGTATCAGCACCTCAGTTTACTGATGAGAAAACTGAGGCCCAGAGTGTGAGAGACTCTGCCACTCCTATGGCCAAGGGTAGCAGAGCTGGAATTTGAACCCAGGCCTCCTCCCTCCAGGTACAGCTCACCTGCGGGAAGGTGTGATGCGGCAGGTACTTCCGGTTCTGGGGGAGACCCTTTTGTCTGTTTTCATCACCTTCCGCCCTAATGCCCGCCCCCCAGCCCCTCACCAAAGCTGCCCTGCCTGCTCTCTGCCACCTTTCTGCCCGACTCAGGACTCGAGTTGGTTGGCTCGTCCATCTGTCCGTCCCACAAGCATCTGCCAGGGCCTAGCTGCAGGACACAGACGTAAATCCCACCACGATTTGGTGAGACAGGTGCGGGGATGTTTGATAGAAGTCTCGGAAGGCCTCCCGAGGGGCGCAGATGTCCAGGAGAGAATGGTATGGGGAGGGAGGTTAGGCCCCGGCACGAGCTAAGGCTTGGGGAGGCCCTTAGTCCCATGAGGTTTTCTGGGTGCCCCTAGGTGCCAGGCCGGGGCTGGTGGCTCTCCTTCACAGAGCTCTGGGTCTCCTGAGGGAGGTGGCATTAACATGAGTCCCTCAGCAAACAGAAAGTCTGCCAGTGACCCAGCCCACCAGGCACTGGGCTGGCCTAGGGGGCAAGACTGTGCTGGTGGGTTCCTGGCAGCAGCAGTACGGTCACCTGGGCGGGGCGTGGGTACAGGGTCCGGCCTGAGGGGCTTGAGTGGGCCCTCTCCTCTCCTTAGGCCTGCCTGCCTGCCCCGCTTCACACCCCAAGGCCCCACTTCCCCTTTCTGGGGCCACCAGGCCCTGTACAGCTCAGGGGCCTGCCAGGGCAGGGCCAGAGGAAGCCGGGCTGGGTTCCTGCCAGTATTGCTTGGGTGAGGAAGTGGGTATCCTGTCTGTGTCTGTGAAAGCTGGGGTGGGCTAGAACTCCCCCAGGGGTGTGGTAGGGCTGGGGGTGCTGCCAGATCAGCCAGTCCCGCTGGGGAAGGATTTCCTGAGCACCCCTGAGGGCCCGGTCCTGCAGTCATAATTCGAGGTCCCAGCACCCTATCTCCAGCAGCTCTTCTAGCTGAGGAACCTGGACCCCGCCTGTCAGTATTTGGCAAGAAGACCCCAGTCCTGTCTTGTTGCAGGGAAGGGAGAAGATGGTGTGTATGGGGTAGTTCAGAGGGCTTCCTGGAGGAAGAGGCCCTCCTGGATCTTGCTGGCTTCGAGGAGGCTCCCTGGCATGGCTGCCTCATCTTGCCCCTGGAAGGCAGAGGGAGGTACCTTGATGGAGTCCACTTTGCCCCCCACCCTCTGTCTGGGGCCTTGAAGGGGGAGGGCAGAAAGGGGTTGGCATTTTGAGATGTTATGGGCTCTTTGAATGTCAGCATTGGGAGGGTGACGGGCAGGACCCTGAGTGGCCTGTATTCAAATCCCAGCTCTCTTTTACTAGCTTTGTGACCTCAGGCAAGTAACTGAATCTCTCTTTGCCTCAGCTCCCACATCCATAAAACAGACACAGCAGTCTTACCTACAGGGCAGGGGTGCAGATTTAGAGAGACTACAGTGCCGGGAAACAATAAGCAGTCAGTAGATTTTGTGATGGTCTGTCCTGCTCAGTCACAGGCCCTGCGGCTGCGGGGAGCTGAGTCCGCCAGGATCGCTTGGGGGAAGAGATTGATTCCGCCGGTATCAGTTTCTACCTAAGTACGTCCCTCCGCTCCCTAATCCCTCCTGCAGCCTTGGGCCCCCTGCTGCCCTGCTTAGTTTGGGACACGGTGACAGAGGTATGAGCTGGGGTGGGGATGGTGAAGGGTTCCCCTCCCTGGCCGGCGTCCCTCCAGAGGAGGTCTTAGCCAGGACTGGCTGCGTCTGCAGGGGCCCGCTCTCACCTTTGAGCTAACTTCTCCCGACTTGGACTCATCAAGGGGCCACGAGGGCTTTCTGGACACAGCAGACTGGGGCAGGAGGCCCAACATGGACCTGGGGACTCTTGGTTGCAAGTGCCAGAAGCTCACCCTGACTTCACCTGGGAGGGGTATTGATTATCCCTTGGGAGGAAATACCTGGGGGTTGCCTGAGCCTCAGACAGAGCTGGATCTGGGGGCCCCAGCGGGTATGTTCAGGGCTCTGTCTCTCACCATTTCTCCGTGTGGGCTTCCTTCTCAGGTGGGCTGTCTACTGTGGTGGTTCAGGTGGCTGCCAGCAGCTCCAGGCCGCGGGCAAAGAGAGCATCTTTTCCTCGTGGGCCAGCAAACGTCCCAAAGAGTATTCTCACTGACATGGTTTTGGTCACATGTGCATCTTTAAACCAGTCACTGCGGCTTGGGAGAGACTGCGCTGAAGAGCCAGACCTGGGTCATGTGGCCCCTGAACCAGGGCTGAGAGGGGGCAGAGGACCATGTCCAGCAGAAGCGGGAAACACCCTCCCAACTGGACCCTTGGGGTCCCCCTCCTCCGTGAGATGGGGCTGCTCCCCTGCCAGAGTTATTGTGAGGTGTGAGTGATGGTGAGGGAGCCCTGGGAATCCAGCCTCTCCAGGTAAAAGGGCCTCGATGTCTCTGCTCTTGGTGTCTTTGGAGTTCACAAAGGACCCGCGGGGTGTGGGTGACGGAGTGACAGGGAGGCAGGGCCTGGCTTGACCTCAGGTCGGACTTACAGCCAGAGCCGCGCCCAGTGCTGGAGAAGACTGGCCTGAGAGGGGATGAGCTTCCCATCACCGAGGCCTGCGAGCTGAGCTTGCGGCAACACTTGTTGGAGACCTGGCAAAGGGGTTCATCCAGGGCCTCATAGGGGCCCTCCCAGTTATCAGCTGAGTTGGCAACTGGCAGAAGAACTGGAGATTGGACAGAGGGGCCTTGAAACCTGCCCCGACAGAGGGGCCTCTGGGTCTCATCCTGGAGAGGAGCTGGCCTGTGCAGGTGCCTCTCGGTGCTGGGTTGTCTGCAGGAGGGAGAAGTGCGGCCCTTCCTCCCAGCCCTGGCTCGTTCTGCCGGAGATGGACGGGGTCCCTGGGGGGCCTAGTCTCCGTGCCCAGTACTGCCCGTTGTCTGCCTCCTCTCCCGCCTGCCGTTGCCCAGGAAGTGGCCTAATTAGATCCCCAAGAGGAGTGTTTACCAGGCCTGAGTTCCCAAGACTCTCGGAATCTTCCAACTAATCCCTCTCTCTCCATGCCTGGCTCAGCCCGGCTTTGTGTGCCTGGAAGGGCAGGTTGGCATCTGGGGGTGAAAGGCTCCATGGTGTGTGTGTGTGTGTGTGTGTGTGTGTGTGCGCGCGCGCACATGCACATGTGCACACACATGCACACTTGTGCATGTCCTGGCCACCCACAGCTCTGCTCTGGGGGCTTTGTCTGGGGGATGGAGCAGCTGTGGGGAGTTGCCTTGGCTCCTTGGAGTTTGGGGTTTCTCAGCCTGGCAGTCCCGGTGCACTGGTGTTTGCGCCAGGCCGGAGGGACAGGCAGTGTTGTGTATACTTCTGACAACTGGTTCAGTCACTGGGACCTGCTGCTTCTGGAAGGAGCTCCATGGGGAAGCCTTTCTCAGTTCAGTAAGACAGTGAGGCTGGGCCAAGGAGCCCTGGTTTGGAAGCTGGCAGACTCAGGTTTGAATCCCAGCCCTTCTACCAACCAGCTCCGGCTGTGTAATCTTAGGCAAGGCACGCTCCCTCTCTGGGTTCAGTTTTGCCTCTGGGAAATGGCTGTAACACCTTGTCCTTAGCAGGTTATGAAGGTGAGAGTGGAGATGGATGTGCAGGCACCTGGCGTGACAGCATGACAGCTGTTTTACACGTGCCCGGGGGTGGGGGCTTCTCAGGGCAGGGACCTTACCTTGTTTTGTGACCCCTTTAGCACAGGGCTGGGCATATATGGTTAGTACTCAAAAAATGCCTCTTGTGGAACAAAGACTGCTGAGCGTAGCTTTAGAGGTGGCGAACTAGTGGGCTGTGCTATGCAAATTTTAGAGACTTTTTAAATCGAAGTAATGTTGATTTACAGTGCTGTGCAGATCTCTGCTGTGCAGCGAAGTGAGTCGGCTACACATATATTTATGTTCTTTTCCATTAGGTTTATCCCAGGAGATTGGACATAGTTCCCTGTGCTTTACGGTAGGACCTTGTTGTTTATCCCTTCTAAATGTAATAGTTTGCATCTACCAACCCCAAACTCCAGTGCATCCCTCTCCCTCCCCTCTCCCCCGGCAGCTACAAGTCTGATCTCTATATCTATGAGTCTGTTTCTGTTTTGTAGATACGTTCATTTGTGCCACGTTTTAGATTCCACATATAAGTGATATCATTTGGTATTTGTCTTTCTCTTTCTGACTTACTTCACTTAGCATGATAATCTCTAGTTGCATCCACGTTGCTGCAGATGGCATTATTTCATCCTTTTTCATGGCTGAGTAATATTCCATTGTGCATATGCACCACATCTTCTTCATCCATCCATCCGTCGATGGGTATTCAGGTGTTTCCACGGTTTGGCTGTTGGCACCAAGCACATTTTAGAACTCAGCTGGCAACAGTTGGAAATCAGTATTTCACGTAGAAATCAGATTTGTAGCTTTTGTCCAAGCACTTTGTACACTTTGGCGGTCCTGGCCCAACCCCCTCAGGGTTGCCTGGGTTAAACAGGTAGTTGCCGAGGCTTGTAGACACCTGCCTGGGCCCAGAAGGAGCAGAGGGGCCAGGACTCCTGGCAAACAGCCCTTTCCTCCACCCCCAAACATGTGGTTTTTCCATTTTGTTCCTGGGGTTTCAGGAACAGGAGCTCCCAGGTGGAATAGTGCCGCAGGTGACTCCCGATCCAAGGTGGCCCCAAGGTTACTCAAGGCAGTTGGCACTCACTGGGGGACTTCACTCAGACTCTGGGACTCTGGGTGCCCTGCTATTTTGCCTTTGGGGGCTCTGGACCAACTTTCCTTCACGGCTTCCACCAGTGGCCATTTGCACCCTTTGTGTCTGCCCTGAGCCTTCCCATATCTTACCACCTCCCTGCCCCCTGCCCTGTCCTGGTTCCTATAGCTGATGCAGGCCTGGAGGATGTTGGGGGCCTGGACTCCTGGTCCAGGGCTGCTCCCTTGACACAAGGTTCCTGCTGGGAATATGTCAGCCACCCCAAGCCCCAGTCGCTACATCTAGGGATTGCACATTTTTTGGGTAACTTTCTCTCCCTGGAGACTGGGAGTCCTAGGGGGAGAGAGAGCTAGCCTGACACACAGGAGATATAATGGGCCTGGTGTGCCATAGGCATGGTTAACGAGCTGTTTGGGAATAAAGGAATGGGCAAATAAATGCATGGTGCTGGGGAAAGAGGGAGCCCCTCTGGGCTAAGCATTGCAAGCCTGGGGTCCGCTCTCAACTTTGTCATAAAGGGTCCACCGTGTTCTTCTCTGAGGTTCAGTTTCCTTATCTATGAAGCGGAGCTTGCAAGGTTCTTAAATTCTTGTCAGTGGGCCCTTTTAGAAAAATTCAGTCTTACGTGGAAGCTTAACGTAACATGAATGCAAGGGGTATCCTCTGAGTGAAGCTGGCGTTAGTGTCTGAGACACAAGACTCATTGAGAAGTTCCAGTAATCGAGTGAGTGAGGTCTTTGCACAAGAACCATTGGAACAGAAGAAAGCCTGCGAACAGACTTCACATGCCTGGCCACCTGACTTAGGACAAAGGTGCCTCCACTAAAACTCTTGAAGGAAGGATGGTGGCTCCACGAAAGGCTGGTGGGGTAATTAGATATCCATTCAGAAAAAAGAAGCTTGGTCCCTGCCTCACACCATACACAAGAATTCCTTGAGATGGATCGGAGACCTACGTGTGAAAGTAAACTGTTCAAACTTCTAGAGCAGTGCTTTCCAGTAGAAGTTTCTGGATAATAGAAGGGCTCTATCTCTGTGCTGTCCAGTGTAATAAACGCTAGCTGTGTGTGGCTGTTGAGCCCTTGAAATGTGACTGGTGTGGCTGAGGGGCTGACATTTGTTTTTTAACTTTCAAAATGTTTTAAATGTAATCAAGCTATTATTATACTCAAAAAAATTAAGTGTAATTTATTAACTTCATCCCACCTTCAGTTCACATTTAGATTTCACCAGTCGTTTCAACATTTTTTTTTGTAGTTGCAGCTTTCTAGAATCAAAATCCAGGTAAAGTCCATTATATCGCATTGGGTTTGTAAGCCTTTTGAATTTATTTTATTCTGTAACATCCCCACTCTCTCTCATGGTACTGACTGGTTAATAATGGGCTATTTGTCCTGTAGGCCAGTAGTTTTCAAAGTGTGGACCAGCAGCTTCAGCGTCTTCTGGGAACACGTGAGAAATGCACGTTTCTTCTCAGGCCCCTTCCAGTCCTACTGACGCTGGGAATGCAGCCCAGTGATTTGTGTTTTCACAAGCCCTCCAGGATCTCTCCTGGGTACCACTGTTGTTGACTAGCCCACGTGGTAGATTTGGCCACCTCCTGCCACCATTTATCTTCTCCAAGTAGCCTCTATATGGGACTGAACTTCTAATTTCATTTTTAATAAACTTAAATTACATTTTTGATGGTCATATGTGGCTAGTGGCTACTGTATCGGACCGCGCGGTTCTCGGAAACACAGAAGACCAGCTTTATGACCTTGGGGTGGGCCAAGCTTTAAAGACCTAAAAGTTAGGTTTGGTTAAGGTTGATAAATCAGACCTGGGGCTATGAGGCCTGGCCTTGCTCTCGCCCGATGCCAGCCTTCCCAGTCCAGGTCAAATCTTGGTCTGCTTTGTGTCTCTGCAGAGCTGAGGACCCTGCATGTCTGTTCATTCGGGCCTGGATGCAAAAGCAGATGCGGGCTCTGCGGTGAGCAAGGCCTGGCGGCTGGAGCAGTGCAGGCCCCGTGTGTCCATGGAGCTGCTGGCTGAGGGGACTCCTGCCCCGCTCCGCCTGCCAGGCTCGGAGAAACCAGAGGCCTAGGCGCACAGGGGTGGGTGTCGGCAGACAGATGCTCCCCAGGCTGCGGGGTTTCCTGCGTGGACTGCTGGGCGGGTGTGCCAGAGGTGGAGGATGCCGGCCAAGGGGCGCTACTTCCTCAACGAGGGCGAGGAGGACCCCAGCCACGACACGCTCTACGAGAAGTACCGCCTCACCAGCCAGCATGGACCGCTGCTACTCACGCTCCTGTTGGTGGCCATCACTGCCTGCGTCGTCCTCATCATCATTGCCTTCAGCTGCGGGGTGAGTGGGGGCTTCCCTGGGCTCCAGGTCTCAGCTCTGATGCTTTGTATTTGTGAGGCCTTGGGCAAGTCATTATCTTCTTAAAGCCTGAGTTTCTGCATCTGTAAAGTGCTATGGAGCATATTTAGGCTGGAGGAAGACACATTTTTTAGTTTAATTTTTAAGTCTGGGGCGGTTTTAGATGTTACATTAATTTGGCCAAATAAATTACCCTCACTTTTCTCCACAATGGACTTTGATTTTACTGAAGGCCTGTGTATCACCGCTCCCACTTCCAGTACCGTGGCAGACATCATGCATCAATCCCGGCACTCTTTCTCACGGAGCCGGCCGGGGTGGGGGGGGTGTATGTCTCAGAATCCTTCTTAAGACAGCAGGCACCACTGATATTATCTCTGCCTTAGGCCTCGTCCTGCTATAGCCATTACCTCTGCGTGGCTGTTAAGCACTTGAAATGTGGCTAGTATGACTGAGGAACTGAATTTTCGATTTTATCTTTAATTATTGGAAATTTAATTTTGAATAGCCACATGTGGCTAGTGGTGGCTGTATGGGACAGTGAAGTTCTAGAAGAAAACATCAGAGACTACAGGCTGTTAACAGGGTGATATGTGTAAGGTGGCCAGCACCCAGTAGGTGCTCTGACGGTGCTGCCTGTATCTCTGTGGATGTAAACCCGAGGGCCTTTGTTTTGTCATTTGGCACATAGTTACTGAGCACCCACTGGGTGCTGGCCCCAGATTAGTCTCTGTGCTCATGGAGCTTACGGGCCTCTGGGGGAAACCAGGTGCTGTCCACCTGTGAACGTCTTGCCTGTTACCTTCTCCCCACAGTGTCACACTTCTGTACCTTTCCTTCAGCTCTTCCCCTGTCTGGGATGCCTTTGGTCGTATCTCCTCATAAACATCCATTCATTCTTTATGACTTAGGAGCACTGGCCTCTCCCCCAGGAGGCTTTGCACAGCTTTGCTCCTGTGCTCTTGTACCTGTGCCCTGCAGGTGTGCACAGAGCTGCTGGGGACCCCGGGGGACGCCTGAGGGGGAGGGGTGGGGAGTGAGAACGTCATAGGGCTGGGCCCCACAGGTGACTGGGGAAAGGTGGTGGTGAAGGCACCCCTAGCAGAGGCAACAGCACAAAGCCTGAGGTAAGAAAGAACTTGATGTTTAGAGGGAGGGTGGACACCACCCACGTGGAGGAAGCAGCAAGTGACCTTGCTTAGGGCAGGCTGGACAGGCTAACCTGGCAGGCTTTCTGGAGGAGGTGGCACCCCGCTGGGGAAAGCTATGGCATTTCTGTGTGTGTTCACCCCCCGCCCCTTCCCCCCAGGACCCCTCCAGACACCAGGCTGTCCTGGGGACGGCGTTCTTCACGCTTGCCGTGTTTGTGGCTCTCTACGCGCTCGTGTATGTTGAGTGCCTCGTCCGCCGGTGGCTCAGGGCCTCGGCGCTACTCATCTGGGCCTGCCTTGTGACGCTGGGCTATGTGCTGGTGTTTGACTCATGGATGAAGGAGGCCTGTGACTGGGAGCAGGTAACAGGGCAGGGGACCCTGGCGCCCCTGGGGGCTGGGTGCTGCCAGCCAGCTGTGCACTCGGTAGCTCCTGTCCCCTCTGGGCATCAGATCCCTTCTGGAGACCGGGCCGCATTGGGTGTGCCAGCCACGGGCCCCTCCCTCTCTCCGGGCTGTGGTTCTGTGACTGAGATGGGCCCTGGGCTGATCTTGTTCTCTCAGGCCTGTGCTGATGCGATGGGGGTGAGGTGGGAGAAGAGTGTCCACGTGAATGTCTGGCTGTGCTCTTTCTGGAAATGACACATTTCCAGCTCAAAGAGGCAAAAAGGCACAGACTGGCTCACGTGCCAGGAGGGGCCCAGGGGTTGGTCTGGGGCTTCAGCAGGAAGGCCAGGTCCCGAGCTCTCCAGGCTCTGCTTTCCTCTGTGCTCTTTCATTCCCTGTCAGGCCACCCCCAGCTCGGGACAGAGGTGCCTGCGGCACCTCCGGGCTGCCCGTCCACCAGCCTACCCACGCCAGCTGAAAGAGACAGCCCTTTCTCAACCAGCTTGAGCTGCGCTGGCTGGCCTGGGGCATGGGCCCAGCCCTGGACGGTCATTGTCACCGGGGAGGGGGGCGGCTCTGACAGTTGGGGCTGGGTCCTGTGACTGGGGTGGGGTGAGGCTCGGGCAAGCCATGCAGGTGGGAAGCTCGGGGGAGGGTGCCGTTCCCAGCAGGGGTGGGAGCGGGCGGGTTGGGCGGGGGTGGGGGGGGAGCAGCAGGGGCCAGCTCAGAGCGTGGGCGGGGCCGGTGAGCTGGGCTGCTGGGGGTGGCAGTAGTTACCATTCCTGCGGAGGGAGGGCCGTGGGCAGTGGGCACCAGGCGAGAGCTCGCTGGGTCACGAGGGCGGCGGAGGCTCAGCCTCAGCCCCAGATGGTAAATCAGCTTGTAGGAGATGATGCTGGCTGGGCCTCATTTTCTCCTTCTATCCTGTGTCTGTCGCTGCCTCTCGCCACACAGGGTGGGGGAAGGGGCCGACCTGAGGGCCGAGGGCGCGGGGAGGGGGGCGTAGCCTCAGAGTTCAGGCTTCCAGGGCCATCCCCGCGAGCCGGGGCTGCGGAGTGACCCCAGCTGGGCCCCGGGCAGGGGCGGCGTGGTGGCCGCGCTCACGACGCCTCTGCGTGCAGGTGCCCTTCTTCCTGTTCGTGGTCTTCGTGGTGTACACGCTGTTGCCCTTCAGCACGCGGGGTGCCGTCGTGGCCGGCGTCGTCTCCAGCACCTCCCACCTCCTGGTGCTCGGCGCTCTGATGGGGGCCTTCACCACGCCCAGCGTCCGGGTAGGGCTGCAGGTGAGGGGCGTGTGGGTCTGGGGCGCGGGGCCGGCTAAGGCCTTGGGTGGGGCTTTGGTTTGGGCCGAGGGCAGCCAAGGCTGGAGCGGGTGAGTTGGAGGCCTCGGAGACAGAGGTGTTTGCCGATGGGTGGCCTCGAGGCCGGGCTTCGTCCAAGTCGGCAGGTGCCCTGCCCTGCAGCCTGTTCTTTGTTGGCCTGGGGTACCCCGGAGGCTGAGCCCTGACCCTCGGGCCTCCTTCCTGGGTCCAGCGCACTACTGCTGGGTGAGGCCCTGTTCCCGAGGTTTCGCTCGTTCAGCCCAGAGCCCCATCTGCACAGGGTCGGACGCCGCGTCTGGTGTCCTTCGCGTTGAGTCATGATGAACAGTTGGTGGTGGCGCGCAGATGTGTCTTCCTCCTGAGCAGGCCTGGTGTCTGGTCTGGGAGGTGGGGGCCAGAGCTCTGGGCAGCCAGCCTGGCCCTGTGCCTTCCGTGGCAGTCCTTGGCTCTCCCTCTGGGCTCTGTGAGGGGCTGTGCTCCTGCCGCCCTGGAAGTGGCTGGCTGCTCCGGTCTCTGGGGCCTGAGCGCTTCTGCACCAGGGAATGTCTGGTGGATGCTGAGACAGGCCTGAGTCCTGGTCCTGGGGTCGCAGTGACCTACTAGGAGACTAATGAGTCTAGGAGACCAGTGAGTCTGAACCTGTTTCCCTGCCTGCCCACCCCAGGGAGGCTGCAGCCCGAGTGGGTTGGGAGGCCAGGGATCGGGGAGGGGGTGCCGTCACCGGCCCACCAAGGGGGTCGGTGTCCTGGGGCACGGGCCAGGCCTGATGCTGAGCCCGCCACGGCCCGCCCGCAGCTGCTGGCCAACGCTGTGGTCTTCCTGTGCGGGAACCTCACGGGCGCCTTCCACAAGCACCAGATGCAGGATGCCTCCCGAGACCTCTTCACCTACACTGTGAAGTGCATTCAGATCCGCCGTAAGCTGCGGATCGAGAAGCGCCAGCAGGTGGGGACCCGCCTGGCCCTGCCCGGCCCCCCGGCTGTCCCCCCGGCCCCACGCCCTGCATCCTTTCTCTGAGGATGTGCTCACTGAACAGCACGGTGAGGCGCCTGGGGCACCTGGCCAGACACCTGTGCTGGTGTCATCCCGGGGGCTGCTGGGGACACGGGAGGGTGTGTGCCTGCCGGGTTGGTAGCAGGGTGTAGGCCAGCAGCAATGGGGCACGTGGTGGGCAGAGGGGCAGGAGGGCAGAGAGGATGGAGACCCGGGGCCTGACGCCGCCCTGCCTGTGCCCCACGTGCCAGGAGAACCTGCTGCTGTCCGTGCTGCCTGCCCACATCTCCATGGGCATGAAGCTGGCCATCATCGAGCGGCTCAAGGAGCGCGGGGACCGCCGCTACCTGCCTGACAACAACTTCCACAGCCTCTACGTCAAGCGGCACCAGAACGTCAGGTGGGTGGCTGGCCGGGCCCGTATGCGCAGTGTCTCCCAGGGCGGCCCCGGCAGGTGGCCCGCTGCCCTCCTACCTGTAGGCCCAGGTCCCAGCCCGCACGGGGACTGGGGAGAGGTAAATCCAGGCGCCTCCCTGGGCCTCAGTCTCCCACTTGTTCCCCCAGGGGGTGGGGGCAGATTAGATTAGTATTGGGGGAGATCCACTGCCCCCTAAAATTGTCAAACTCTGTGCACGAACGTGACTGTTGGGAAGAAAGGGTCTTTTCAGATGATTCTCAAAGGGGCACAGGCCCCCCAAAAGGAGATGAAGCCCCACCCAGGTGACCGCCAGGGACCCCCCCCCAGTCCTGACACCATCTTTGACTGACTTGAAGGGGCTGCAGAATCTTACTCAGTGGCGCTGACCTGAGTGAAACGCAGATGTGGGCGCTGTGAGCTCCACCCTGGTCCTCTGCCTGCAGGCTCTGCATTACCCCCGAGACTGGCCTGCTGCCTCTGGGCTGTGGATGGTCCAGAACTGTAGACTCAGGAGCGGGGAGATCTGGTGCAAAATGCAGCTCTGGCTTCCCAGCAAGTCTTAACCTCCCTGGGACTCAGTTTGCTCGTCTGTAGAATGGGGTTCCTACAAGGGCAGCGTGAGGACTAGATGTGTGAAAGCGCTGGGTGTGGAGCTCAGCTGGAGGGAGCGTGCAGTCACATCTTACCAGGGCTTTAGCTCTGAAGTCTGCGCAGAGGTGAAATCCAGGTATAGGGAAGGGGAGAAGTTCCCAGGTGCCCGAGAATCCACCTGTAAGGGCTCCATTCAGTCATCTGTGGTGAGGCTCTAAAGGGGTTGGGGGTTCCGGAGGGCCCCTGCAAACTGGGGCTTGCTTCATTTTCTTTGATGTGAAGCCTCTGGAACTTTAATTCATCCTTATGGCGGCGGGTTTCTCTCCCATCCCTGGTGGCAGAGGGCTCGCAGGGGTGATTGGGTGCGGGGCTGGCAGATGCTCAGGGGCTCTTGGCCCTGACCCTCCTGCTGGCCCCCCTACCCCCAGCATCCTCTATGCTGACATCGTGGGCTTCACGCAGCTGGCCAGCGACTGCTCCCCAAAAGAGCTGGTGGTGGTGCTGAACGAGCTCTTCGGAAAGTTCGACCAGATCGCCAAGGTGAGCCCACTGACCTGTGCTGCCTCCCCTCCGCTGATGGTAAAGTCAGGAGCCCTTCCCACCGCATCCACAGCGTGTCCTGTGTCCAGCGCTGTGCTGAGATGGGTGTGGGGAGGCCTGGGCTGCATTTTAGCATTCAGTCAGCAAAGCTTTCAAGTGCTCCATGGTCAAAGTGGAGGTTGAGCCAGGATCCTGTCCCCCAGAGTGTCAGTGCACACTGGGGAATGCACTGGGCTTCACGAGCTTAGAGGGGGACTCCAGAAGGCTGCCTGGAGGAGGAGGCGGCTCCATCCTGACTACGCAGGGTCAGCAGCCTCAGCTTCACCTGGGAGCATGGGAGGACTGTGGAATGCCAGGCCTCACCCGGCATCTGTCTCTTGACAAGATCGCAGGGCGAATAGTCTGCACGTTAAAGTTTGAGAAACCTAAAAAGAAACTGAAGAGGAAAGGGAACAGTGTTATGGGCAGAGGGAACAGCATATGCAAAAACCTAGAGAAGAAAGAAAGCTCTGTGTGTCCATGCAATGAAAGTGGCTCAGTGTGAGTGGGACAGAGTGTGTTGGCGGGGAACATGGTCACAGGGTCAGACATTCAAGGACTTGAGGGCTGAGTTGAGGAGCGGGATTTGACCTCAGGACCCTGGGGAGCATAGCAGGTGCCAAGCAGGGAGGGCATTGGGCAAGGAGAGCCTCCAGGGTTCAGCCAAGGCAGGAGGGGTCTGGAGACCAAAGAGGGCTGAGCTGAGATCTCACTGTTTTGTCTTCACAAGCAACACCCAGCTCCAGGGGTGTGTGTAGGGGGCTGGGGAGGAGCCTCAGTTATTCATTAATTTACCACCTGGTCCGGGGACCTGCTGAGTAGCAGCCCTGGGCTGCCCTCAAGTTGCTCCCAGGCTACGTGCTATGTGGTTGGAAGAGGGGTACAGGGGGCAGGACTTGGGGGTGCTTATTTAGCCCAGCCTCAGGTGGTCAGGAAGGCTTCCTGGAAGTGGTAGCCACTGAGTAGAGACCCAAGTGTAAGATTTAGGGCAGTGGCTCTCCGTCCTGGCTGCGTGTTTGAATCACATGAAAAGCTTAAGTAAAACCCCAGTACCCATGCCCGCACCCATGAGAGTTTTTCAGAGCCTCCCGGGTGACTCCATGTGCAGAGAATCGATGGTTTAGAACTTGATGGGAACAAGTTCTGGCCTCGCACTCAATCTTGGGAGGGACTACCTCACCAGGAGCAGGCTCCACCTCAGGAGATGAGCTTCCCGTCACAGGAGGTAACCAAATTACAGTTGGACACCACTGGCCAGGGGCGCTCTGGAGAGCTGTCCCCCCTGGGTACTGTGGACTGTGTGACTCTGAGGGTCTGTTTAGCCGGGAGCCTTCCTTTAGGAGCTTCCTTCCTTCATGATGTCTCTGGTGGAGGTTCCTAGAGGTTGGGCCTTATGTGGGCCCAGGCTCCATCCTCACTACGCAAAGCCACAGCTGGCTCTTCCCCTGCCACAAAGCCAAGGACCTGCCCTTGCCCTTTTGGACACAGCCCGCTCTCCATGGCAGGCCCAGGAGGCAGCCTCATTTTATAGATGAGAAGAAGGAGGCTATGGCAGGTGCCAGTCTTCAGGCCAGAGTGTCCAGTCCCTGGGCAGACACAGCAGGCAGAGCTGGTCCCAGCCTTTTCTCCTATCAGCAATCAGATTCCAGAACTGTAACCTCCTGGTGAGAGCCAGGGCCTCCTCTCAGAGGTGTCCGCATTGCGTCTGGGCTCAGGCATTTTCTGTCCCAACACACTCACACAACTCCTCCAGTTTGTAAGTCTCAGAGGCGCGGGGAAGAGCAGCCTGGGGAACGTGGCCTCCTGTAAATCCCTGACAGCGGGGCTGGATCCAGACTGTTACCCTGCGCCTGGCTCTGGAGGAGATAAGATAAGGGCAGCGGTGCCCTGAGCCTGTGCCTGGGTGTCCCAGCCCTCGCCGAGCTTCTGCTGCTTTCTAGGAAAGCACTGTCCTCCCCCACCTCCGTTAGGCCATTCAGAACTCAGCATGTGCCAGACGGAGCACACCGGGAAGCAGCTGGCACACACTCAGATGGGTCATTGGAGGAGGGCTTAGGAAGGGGACTGCTCACAAAGGCCTGGCGGGTAGGGGACCTCGAGGGAGGGATGGGGCCTGGCCTGGTCATCGGTGCTGGGTGGTCACCCACAGGCCTGGTGGGCATGCCAGGGAGTGGGCACTGGATCTGGAGACAGAGGGTACCCTGGTTCTAGGGGCCAGCCCTCTGGGAAAAGGCAGGAGGGAGCTGGGGCAAGGCTTCACTGGAGCCCAGTAGGCAGCTTCTCCTTCCTGTTCCCTTAAATCCCACCCTCAAGGCCTTGATATGTATGGCCGCCTTTGCTAAGGGCTTATGGAGGGTCAAGTACCTGCAGCACCACCTCAGATGGAACCTCAGACAGCCTATCTGGGCCTCCCCTTCCCCTCCAGGGGCATTTTTTTTTATGTGACCCCACCCTCTCTCCCCACTCCCATCTTTCATCTCTGTTCTTCCCCCACTCCCCAAACCCTGTATCCCTAGCAGCAGAGTCATCTCTTGGGTTACCTTGACACCTGCTGACCCCATAGCTTATGGCACCTGCTACCTCTCTGTTCTCACCCCTCCTACTCTCTCCACTCCACCCACACTGACTGCTGTGCTATGTCTCAAACACCCTTCTGGCCTCAGGGCCTTTGCACATGCTGCTTCCTTCTGCCCGGATGCTCTTCCTCCAGATCCTGGCATGGCTTGCTCCCTCAGTTCCTTTAGGACTTTGCTCGAATGTTACCTTCACTGGGCGGCCTTTCCTGGCCTCCTGGGAACTTCCTCTTCCTTCCCATTTCTCATTTTTCTCCATAGCACTTATCATGGGTGTCTACAGATTTTATTTATGTAGCTTAGTGTCCAGCTCTGCCACTGGCTGCAGGGATTGTTTTCTGTTTTGCTCACTGCTGTGTCCCAGTGTCTGGGGCAGAGCAGGGCACTCCTTAGATGCTCAAACATTGCATAGATGAATGAAACAAAGGTAGCGCCTCCCTAGAGACCCTCAGGTGGCCACCCTTGGTAACACTTGCTTTTATCCCTGACACCTGCTTGGGGTTCCTCCTGCAGACCCCCCGTGTTCCCCATCCTTTTGCCGGGCCCAGAGGCAGTTGCTGGTGGCTGGTGCCCCAGGAGAAAGCCCCTGGCCAGAAGAGAGCCTGGTTGACTCTGGAGGGTGTGGGGAGGTGGCCAGCATGCCTGCTCCATGGCCCCTGGGCCATCTGCTGACCAGGCCTCCCCTTGCCCTGCAGGCCAATGAATGCATGCGGATCAAGATCCTGGGCGACTGCTACTACTGTGTGTCAGGCTTGCCCGTGTCCCTGCCCAGCCACGCCCGCAACTGTGTGAAGATGGGGCTGGACATGTGTGAGGCCATTAAGTAGGTACCACGCACAAGCCTGGGGCACTGGGGCCTGTTCCCACGGCGGGCCCCTTCTGCTCCCCAAGGCATGCTGGGGAATGCATTGTCCCTGCTTTGCATATGAGGAAACTGAGGCTCCAGGGGCGCAGGAGGCTTACCTGGACCACTCAGCAGTGTGTTTGCATCCCTCCCTCTGGGCCCACTGGGACTCCGAGTTCCAGAGAGTCTCAGAAGCTCAGAGCTGAGGGCCATGAGGACGGGCAGCTGGGCTCCGTTTCTCCGGAGGCTGAGCCTTTGCAGCAGCAGGGGAGCTGGCAGACGCAGCGTTGGACTCCAGGCCTCCGTCTGCTTCCTGTTCCCCCTGTGAAGACCCTAGAGTTGGGGGACTAGCCCTCAGCCTCCTGCGGCTCCTTGCCACCAACATCCCAGCTCCCCACAAGGCTCTCTGGAGCCCCGAGCAGCCGTGGTCTGTGGTGGTCAAGCAGGTGGCGGAGGGCCAGGCAGGCTTGGCCAAACGGCCCAGCGTTCGGGGCAGAGCCGGGCGCGGCTGGGCTGCCGGGCAGCGCACAGCTTCCGCGCAAACCCAGCTCCGGCTTGTCCTCCTGAAGTCTCACCAGAATAAAACCCGGTCAGGGAGTTGGTCCAGGTCACAGGCTGGCTCTGCGTCACCGCCTGTGTGACCTCGGGCTGGTGCCACAGCCCTGGGGCTTCCTTCCCTCCCTGGAGCATGTGGAGGTTGTGCGGGCCCTCCGCTCCCACTGGCTTTGACCCCGGCAGGCTCGGTCCATCCCTAGCCCGTTGGCGGACACGTGGCACCGGCTGCTGCCCAGGCCCTCACGCACTTATCAAAGGGACCCGGAGGCCTGCTCGTGTTGGGGGTGCCTTGTGCCCCAGGGAACTCTGAAGTTGGGGCTCCTTGTACTAAGTGGTGCTGGCAACCCCCAGTACTCCCAGTTCCCAGAGATGGGGGTGTGTAAGGCCCCCGAGGGCTGGCCCCATGTTCCTTGTTTCTGCTGGGTTTGGGGCAGTGTCTGGATCCCTCTGCAGACTCCAGCTGGGGCTGCCAGGCAGGGGTAACACCCAATGATAGTATGTTAGGGCCTCCAGCAGGAGCCACCGTGACCAGTGACAGTTGGAATTCCTCCTCCTTTTAACAGCCTTTGAGCTTGGGGCGGCCACATCCATTTGCACACTCCTAGACATGGGGGGCTCATCCCCTTGCAAGGAGGCAGCCCCCTCAGGCTGAGAACGTTCTCTTCTGTGAGCTGGGCCTGCCCTGTTCCCATACGCTCCCCGCACCCTTGCTCTGCCCCCACCCCGTGCCATACCCCCTACCAGGGACCTTGAGCCTGTCCTAGGGTTCAGGGCCCCCCAGCAGCCCTGGCTGGGGTGGGCTGACGGGCCTCTGCCCCAGGCAGGTGCGGGAGGCCACAGGCGTGGACATCAGCATGCGTGTGGGCATACACTCGGGGAACGTGCTGTGCGGTGTCATCGGGCTGCGCAAGTGGCAGTATGATGTGTGGTCCCATGACGTGTCCCTGGCCAACAGGATGGAGGCAGCTGGAGTCCCTGGGTGAGGCTCAGCTGGATGGCGGTGGGGTCAGAGGTCTGGGGCTGACTCTGGGCTGCGGTGGTGGGGTATCAGCATGGGGTCAGAGAGGGAATCAGTGACCTGAAGTGGGGGGAGCCCGCCCGGGCTCCGGCCTGCTCAGCCCTGCCTGCTGTGCACCCCCGGGTGGGTGTCTGCCCTCGCTGGGCCCTGCTGCTGTCTGACTCTCGTCTCCCCCAGCCGGGTGCACATCACAGAGGCGACGCTGAACCACCTGGACAAGGCGTATGAGGTGGAGGACGGGCATGGGCAGCAGCGGGACCCCTACCTGAAGGAGATGAACATCCGCACCTACCTGGTCATCGACCCCCGGGTACGAGGCTCAGCCGCGGCAGGCTGGGGGGTGGCGCTGGGGCTGTGCTTGGGAGCAGGGCCCACGCCCGGGGCATGGCCCCCGTGGAGGGAGAGGTGGGGCCCGCCCGGGGTAGGAGGCAGTGCCCCGTTACTAGGCATGGTCTAGGCCCCAAGGGACAACTTCTCTGGACCTCAGTGTTCTGTTCTATGAAACGGGGATAACAACGGCCCCTACCTCAAGAGGAGAAAAAGCTAATCTGAGTGAAGCCCTCCCCGTCAACTGGGTGCATCATAAACGTTCTAGAAACAATAGTCACTGTTAGTTTATTTTCCATGAGGTTGTCACTAATCGTCCAGATTTTCAAAAGACACGTTTTAAAAACACGCTTTGGATGGGAGTCAGGGAAGCAAGGAATGGCCAGGGGGCCAATAGGCAGGAGCCCCTGTGTGTCCTGGGCTCTGACCCGCCGCGTGCGCCTGCCCGGCCGGCGCCTCTAGGTTCTCAGTTGGCCCCACTCCCTTCAGGACCCCGTGGTGGGGAAGGCTGTGAGCCTGCTTCTGGGCCGTGGGCCCCGGGCCTGCGCCGGCAGGGGCTTTTCGCTCCCGCCTGTGGGAGGCCAGCTCGTCTGGGCCCTCGGTGAATCATCCTTGGGGCTTGCTCAAGAATGTCGGCAGTGGCTTGCTCCTTCCAGCTCCGTCTCACTCTGGCCTTTGCCGTCCTCGGGGCTGGCCCGCCTGCCAGTCTCTGGGGCAGCCGCGGGCCCGCCTGTGAGCCTCCCCCGACACCCTCGGGCTTCATCCTGCCGACATTCCCAGTGCGCCCTAGGTGGGTCAGCCATGCTGAGCGAGCATCGGGGGAACCCCTCCTGGTACCTTGGGGCTGCTCCCAGCCCACTATTGTGGAAACCACCCAGCCCCTCGCCCTGTCCCTGCAGCTCTGGGCCCCGCCCCCCCCCCCCCCCCCCCCCCCCCCCCCCCCCCCGCTTCCTTCCTCCCCCGCCCTGTGCCAGCCTCCTGTCCCTCCACTGCCAGGCTCTTTCCACTGCAGAGCCCTTGTCACTGCTGCCCCCTCAGCCCAGAGCCCTCTGTCCCAAATGCTCCTGTTTATCCTTTTTACTGTTTATTGTCAGTGTGAGCTCCACGGGGGCAGGCTCGGGGTGGGGGTCCCTCTTCTCCAGGCTTCAACCCCCGGTCCTAGGACAACGCCTGGTACAGAGCAGGGCCCCAGATAGCTTGTGAACGAGTGAAGCAGAGCCCTTGACCCCGAGGTGGTGGCAGGCGTAGTCCTGTAACCCACCCCGCAGGGCCGCCGGATCAGCAGGTATGACCGCGGGCGCCCAGTCAGACTCGTGTTCCAGATGAACAAGGGAGAAGGCTTTAGTACGAGTGTCTCATGCAGGGTTTACTGGGCACCCTGTCTTTTATCTGGCAACGCTACCTTCCCCCATCTTTGTTTAATTTTATTCATTCCCATAGTTGAAAATTCAAAAAGCAAGAAGGGTGTGCTATAGAAAGTTTTTCGTGCATCCCTGTTCGCCGCCGGCACGTCCCCCCTGACGGGGACCCGTGTGGTGAGAGGTGTCTGTGCGCATCTAAGTAGAGGGGGAAAGACTCCTCTGGCCTCTTTGCTGAGCTGGCGGTAGCGCCTCCACCAGTGTGAGCTTTGCTTCACCAGCGACGTAACTTGGAGACCTTGCCTTCTGCGCACAGAGACCGCCCTCGTCTCTTCTCATGACTGCGCGCTGCGCGCACTGTGCCGAGGCGTGGTGGGAAGGTCCTTTCCCAGCTCTGGCTTCTATAGGCTTATGTGTGTGTGAGGTGCCCCAAGGGATGAGTGTCCAGAGGTGGCCGGTAGGGGGCCCGTGGCCGGTGCAGGTTGCAGGTGCCCTCCCTGGGCCCTGCTTCTCAACAGATGCGTTTTTGCTCAGAACTGATGGATCATCAGGACCCGTTTAATTTTTAGGGACAGTGTCTGGCTTCCCTGCCCTAAGAGAGAAGTGGCAGTGGCCTTGAACTTGAAGAGCTGGTTGCCGTGTAGGCAAGAGTTGCTGACGGTGGAGGGGGAGGCAGAGAAATGTAACCTCCCCAGACCCCCAGGGCAGGTCACTCACCACAAGGTGCCGCTCGCTCTCAGGACCCCGGGACTCTCTGCACAAGGACTGAATTCCATGCCATTCCCTCTGGCCTGGCAGACAGACATGGCTCAGAGTTTAAGAATGTTTCTGTCCTAGGAGGAGGCAAGAAGTTTCCAGGAAAGTTGCTGCCTATGGCTGAACGAGTGTTTGTGGCAGTAGGTGTTGGTCTGTGTGGGTGTTTGTGGGAGCCGCCAGAGACTGGGACTCCTGCAGGGCAGGGCTGTGAGGGGATGAGGGGGACTCAACAGGCCTCGAGATGGCCCGAGCTTGTCCCTGGTGGCCTCGGGGGTCTTTCTCTTCCCTCCCCCTTTTCCAGTCCTGTCTGGCCTCGCCGGCTGAGGATGGTCCCAGGCAGGTTGTTGTTCTTGGCGGGGGGTTGGGGGAGAGGGCGGCAGGGCTGGGCCCCTCCTTCAGGGCCTGGCTAAGCCACCGTGTCCCAGGCATGGCCGCGGCAGGCTTGTGGCAGATACTGGACCCATGCTGTGTGTACGAGTGGAACTCCCTGGAATGCTGCCCCGTGGGGAGCAGCCCTGGGTTGGCCAGCATTCCCCTTCCTCCTGGCTGCTCCCACACGAACGATGTGTGCTGCCACATGTGGGTGGGCAGGGCAGGATGCCTGTGGCTTCTTCCCTGGGTGCCATCTCCCTGGGGTGCGTCCACCGGGAGGGGCCGATGGGCTTTCAGACCCAGGGAGCTTCAGGGGCCAAGTGGAGCCTTCGGGCTTGGGGCCTGACCCCACCTCTTGCTCTGGGGAGGCAGAGAAGGGCCTGAGGGGCTGTGCACAGTTGTGCCTGCGGCAGGGACAGGGCCCCGAGCTGGGGCCTCCCCGGTGCCCGGCCAGGGAGAGCACTGGGCTTCCGCCAGTCCCCGAGGGCCTGCAGACCCAGCAGCTGTTTTGCCGTTTTCCCTTTTGGCCAGATGGGCCAGCGTTCTGGGCAGCGTCGCACTTCTGGGGGAGCGGGATGGGGGCGGGCCGTTCCCGTGCTGAGAGGGGAGGGGTGGGACAGGCCGTGTCTGCGTCTGCCCGCAGAGCCAGCAGCCGCCCCCGCCCAGCCTACACCTCACCAAGTCCAAGGGGGACGCGACCCTGAAGATGCGGGCCTCCGTGCGCATGACCCGCTACCTCGAGTCCTGGGGGGCGGCGCGGCCCTTCGCACACCTCAACCAACGCGAGAATGTGAGCAGCAACGAGACCCCTGTGCCCCACGGGCGGAGGCCCAAGGTAGGACCTCTCCTCCCAGAGAGCTGGGAGCAGGAGCCGCGGGCAGGGGCGGGAGAGCACATGCTACGGGTGTCCTTCCGCTAAGGGTGTCCTTCCGGCCAAGCCTCACTTTCCGCATCTGCAGGATGGTTCCAGGCTCTGCCCTCCCTCGCTCCCTCCTGGGGCCCTTGGGGAAGTGAAGGCATTTGGAGAATGCTCCAGGGTGGCGGGGGATGTCCCTGGCCTCCTGGTTCTCCAGACCAAGTTCAGTTTCAGTTCTGGGTGCCTGCAGCTTGGACAGTCCTTGCATCCGAGAGTGCCAGAGATGATAGACCCAGTCCGGTGAGGCGCATCAGGGCCCCGGGTCCTGGAGAATAACCGTCTCCCCCTCCCTTCCCTTCCAGGCCATTCCCCTACGGCGCCACCGGACCCCTGACAGGTTTGTGCCCTGTCTCCTGCCTCCCTGGCCAAGTCCTGCCCCAGTCACCTCCTCCAGGCAGGCTGCCCTGACCAGCCTCTGTCCAGGAGGGCAGCTCCACAAGGCCCAGCCCTGACTATGGGTTTCGCCATGGCTTGGGTCAGAGTGTTTTTAGGAACCAAAACTTCACAATGATCGAGTGGCTGTTGTATACCCACCCTGTAGTGGGGTCAGTGGGGTTGGTGTGATGGAACCCTGGGGTTTAGTGGAAGAGACCTTGGACCGGGGCCTGGGGGGTCTGCCCTTTGCTTCTGGCTGGGTGATGCTGGGCCTTCACTTGTCCTCTCTGGGCCTCAATGGGACCCGCCTGTCCCTCCTCCATCCTGCACGAGGCTCTGGGACCTCCTGCAGGCACCTGGGAACCCCACTTGGGTGAGTCATCTCGTCCACACCCCTGCCTCTGGGCAGGTAGATGTAGGTTCCCGGGCTGATGCCGTTGCGGGTGTCTGATTCCAGAAGTGCGTCCCCCAAGGGGCGGCCGGAGGATGACTCGTACGATGATGAGATGCTGTCAGCCATCGAGGGCCTCAGCTCCACGAGGTGAGGCTCCGAGACCTGTGCTCGCCTTGTGCCTCATGCCCAGTGGCTGTGTCCGTGGTGCTGCCTCCTGAGGGTGGCCCCCCACGCCCTCCCCCCGATTCCTCCAGGCGCCACCTCTCACTGCCTGTGTCTCCACCCCACAGACCCTGCTGCTCCAAGTCTGATGACTTCTACACCTTTGGGTCCATCTTCCTGGAGAAGGGCTTCGAGCAAGAGGTGAGGACCTCTGAGCAGCCCCAGGAACAGGGGCAACAAGGCCTGGGGTGGGGGGCGGGTGCTGGCCACAGGGCAGCCAACACCCCCAGAAGGTCTGCTCAGGGAGGGCGCTGGGGAGTCGCTCCAGCTGCCACTGGGGTGAGGACGGGGCTCAGTGCAGCCTGTTTGGGTTCTCTTCTTATTGGCCTCGCCCCTGCACCTGACACCCCCGTTAGTGCTTCCCCGACTTGGGTTTGGGAGACTTTGCTCCCTTCAAATGCCAAACCTCAGCCAGTGCTGATAGGGGCCAGCGTGCACCTTTGGCTCTGCACGTTTTAGGAAAAAGCCCCAAACTCAGTATCAGTTTGACGGGGCCTGACCGGTTCCCCCTTCTGGCTGCTGTAACACCATGCTTGTGTCCCACTAGTGACCGTTCACTTATTTTTCGAGAGTCTACTGGTTCTGCCAACGTCCAAGGCACGTGTGTGTCATTCTGCCCTCACCTGCAGGCCAAGGTGGGCGATGGTACCCATGTCACGGACCCCAAGGTTTGGGGCGTCTTGGCCTCAGGTGTGGCCTGAGAGAGTGACCCAGCCCACGGCTCTCTGGTGCTGGGACCTCTCTGCCGCTTCAGCCTCCAGGACTGGGGGTCTCCCTGAGTTGAGGGCTCCCTGTGTGGGGAGCTTGGGGTCTGGAGGCAGGTGTGGTCACCAGGAGAGCCGCCTGGCGGGCCACCTGCTGGCTGTGAGACCTGGACAGGCTGCCGGGCTCCCTGAGCCTCAGTTTGCTCATCTGCGGCGGGAGCCCTGTGGGCTGAGATCTTGAGACGGTGCCGGGTGTGGCGGGGCGGGCAGCACAGGCCCCCCGCCCGACGGCTTGGGGCTCAGGCCTGGCCGTGCTCCTCGGTTTGGGGTGAGAACAGAACCCCCACTAGCCCCAGTCGCAGCAGCCCCAGAGCTCCCATTTGGTTCTCGCCCACGGACTTGGGCTACAGGCTTTACAGGGACCTTGGAAATGAAGTCAGAGACCTGGGCGGGGTGGGGGAGGGGAAGGTATCACCTCTAAATGTAAAAGAGAGACTGCAGAATGGAAACAGATGAAAATTGTTTGTTCGGTGATGATGTAACAGTCAAGGAGGGGAGGAAGTCAAGGAGGGGGTGTAAGGCTTTTCTTAGAGATGATTAACTCGAGCCAGGGTGGAGCCCAGGAAGGGGTCAGAGCAAGTAGCCTGCCCTGCGGGCAGGGCCTCAGCTGCCCGGCCACCCCTCACAGTCTCTGTCGCCCCCAGTACCGCCTGGCACCCATCCCGCGGGCCCGCTACTACTTCGCTTGTGCCAGCCTTGTGTTCATCTGCATCCTGCTCGTCCATGCCCTGCTCATGCCCAGGTCAGTCGGGGGGTGGGCCGGATGGTCAGGCACACTGGGGTCAGGCTAGGAGGGGTGGTGACTGTGCAGATCCCACCAGAAGACCTGCAGGAAGGGGCTGGCTGTTAGAGTTAGTACCTTTAGGCGTCAGAGCCCCAGAAACTGGACCTGGCACCGTGGCCCCCATACCTGGAGTTGCCAACGTTTAGTTTTAGTGTTAGTTGAACATGCTTGCACGCTCAAGCCGCAGGCCTCCCCACTCCCAGATGCCTCTCGCCTTCAAAGTCACCTGTTTTCTGTGTGGCCCTTCAGGCATTTCAGTGTTTTGAGACTGTTGCCTTAGGTGTTTGGAGTCCTAGAAGGGCAGACTCCTAAAACCGTAGCTGCTACCACCTCCCTCTTAGGTGTGGGAAATTGAGGCCTGGGGGGCGGCTTAATGCCTTATCCAGGGTGTGTGGCCAGTACACAGGAGCCGCTGAGATTCACGCTTCTGCGAAAGGGCTCTGTTGCTGGGGGCGGGGACGGGGCTGAGGTCACAGGGAGGTAGGAAGGTCAGCCAGTTGGAGGCTTCTGGAAGGGTAGTTAGGCCAAAGGATCCACTAGGATCGTGGTTCAGGATGTGCTTAATAAAGACGAAATAGGGAACGCTTTTCGATGGTGCTTGTGTGCCGGGCAAGAGTCTGAAGGCTGTATAACCAGTTATTTCTTGTATACTTGGCCCGGAAAGTGGGGCGTGATGTTGACCTTGGTCCTCATGTCTCGGCCAGGCCTTGTGTGTTGTTCGTGGGGCAGCTGGACCACGGTGTGCAGTGTGCCCCTTCGGCTGAGTGCAGAGTAGCAGTTTGGGAGGGGGGAGAAGGTGAACTGAGGCGCTGGGGGTGGGGAGCATGCCGGTGGCTTGGTCCTGGGCAGAGGGTCCCCCAGAACTTAGGTTTTTCCTTCCTCTCCAGGATGGCGGCTCTGGGTGTGTCCTTTGGGCTGGTAGCCTGCGTGCTCGGGCTGGTACTAGGCTTGTGCTTTGCCCGTGAGCTCTTGGTGAGTGGGGAGGCCCCTGACTGGGCGGCGGGCAGGCCGGGCCCACCAGGTGTCGGGGCTGTGGTGGTGCGAGCCCCGGCCCCGTGACCCCTGCCCCTCCGGCCTGGAGCACGGTCTGGAGGCTTCTCCCAGGGCTCTCCGTCCTATGTGCTAGTAGTCTGCAAGCGGCTGTGGCTGTCCCCAGCCCCAAGGGTGGGGCTGTCCCTGCTGTCTACGCACCACACGTGTCCTGAGCTCTGGGCCGGGCGGGCACAGCACCCCTGACTCCCCAGCAGAGCTCTCAGAAGCTCTCGCTCTGCTGGGCCCTTGGGCTGTGGGCCCCCGGGCCAGGCCTCCTGCGGGCTCTCCCTCCACCTCGGGTGTGGGTGCTGGGTGATGACACTGTGATTCCGCAGAGGTGCTGCCCAGCCCGGGGCGCGCTCCGAGCCATCTCCGAGAGGGTGGAGACGCAGCCCCTGCTGCGGGTGTCCCTGGCCGTCCTGACCATCGGCAGCTTGCTCGCCGTCGCTGTCGTCAACCTGGTGGGTTCTGCGGCGGGGACGGCAGGCCTGGCAAAGACCCCTTGGGCCGTGCACGCTTCCGGGGAGGAGGGAGCAGTCTTTGACCCTGGGGACCTCCGGATTCTAGAATCCTATAATCCTGTTGCCTAAAAGCCCATCTGGTGTGACTGTATCCAGAGCCCTGTGAGGTTCCCGTGGCGGCTCTGAGCTCCTCACCCTGTGTTTGTCACATGAGGACTTGGGGGCCCCAAGAGTGTTCACGTGGCCGACCCCACAGGGCCACCACGGCGTCCTGACGTCCCGGTCTTTCTTTCCTGCCCCTGAGGAGGTCCTGTCTCAGCCTTTCTGAGACCCAGTCTCCTCGCTGGGGATGAGCAGCCCTGGGCACAAGCTGGAGGGGACGCCTGGGCCCTGCTTCTCTGGCCGGGCTCGTGTGCTTTGGGCTCAGACAGCACTTGTCCCACCCGGTCCTCCCCCGCTCCGACATTTAGAGCCAGAGTCTCTCCCATCTCCGTGTCCCCTGCACTAGGGACTCTGTGACCACCTCCCTCAGCGTCACCTGCGGAGAAGGGGGCTCACTGAAAATGCTGCTCCCAGCTTCTGCCCCCGCCCCGAGTCAGGCGCTGGGGTGGCGTCCCTGTGCCTTCCTTGGGCTCCCTCTTCCCGCAGTGAAGCCGCCAGCTGTGGTGGGACATCGGGGGCACAGAGGCTCCGGCCAGGCTTAGAGCCAGGCCTGGCAGGAGATGCCCATGGCGCTCTTGGAGGCCCCGGCCCTGCCCTCTGCCCGCTCCAGGTCCCCAGCCCCGCTCAGCCGGGGCAGACCCTGGAGCCCCTGGACCACCCCTCACAGGGACCTGTCTTTTCCGTAGCCGCTGATGCCTTTCCCGGCCCCAGGGCTGCCTGCTGGGAACGAGACGGGCCCGGGGGCCGTGAGCAGCTGGGAGAGGACCCTGTGCAAGCTCCTCCCGGTGAGTGTGTCCCTCGGGGCTCCTGGTGCCCTCACTCGGACTGTCCCTGTGTGCTCAGGACACACTGAGCACCGGAGCCCATGGGCATGGAAGAGCCGAGTCCCCCACCTCCCAGGCGAGGCGGCAGAGCAGGGCTGGGTGGGGCTGAGGGGTCCAGGTGCTGGCGCCTGGGTCCAAGGCGAGAGGGTGGGAGCGCCCTGCGCTGGTGGTTGTCTCCTGACCACGCTCGTCATGATCTCCGCTTCATGGATGGGGGAGTGGTCGTGGGGAGGCCGACGGATTTGCCTCATAGGCGGCGGAGCCAGGACTGGGCCCAGGTGGGCTGACACCAGAAGCTGTGCCTGAAGCACCCTCCCGCACAGGATGAGGGCTGTGGGACTTGAGGGGCTGGTGGTGAATTTGAGCTGGTCTCTAAAGGGCACAGAGGTTATGGGACGGGGGTTGGAAGAGGGGACAGCGAAAAAAAAGCCAAGGCAGGTAGTGGGCACAGTAGGTTTCAGGTGGTCGTGTCACGGGGAGGGGGTGGGGGAGGATTGGGAGATGAAGCCAGAGGTAGGTTAGATCCAGCTCCAGTGGAGCATGAGTGCCAGGGTGAAGAGCTTGGTCTTTATTCTGGGGGCAGTAGGGAGCCACAGAGTGCTCTTGAGCAGGAGAGTAACATGGGCAGAGATGCACTTTGGGGGGCACCGGCTCATGGCAGAACTCAGATCACTGCCTGGACCTTGTCACAGCCTCCCCAGCACCTGCATTTTTATTTACTGCGTTTCTTTTTCCTTGAGTTCACTTGCCATAAGTGGAAGTAAAAATATAGTTAAAAACAACATAATATAGAAAGTTTTAGATTCCGTTGCCTGCTCTTTGTTAAGGGAGGTCAGTGAGGCAGGAGACACACTGGATCTTCATGGATTCCTCTGTGGCTAAAGGTGTCCCTCCCTTGGGTGACCTCTGATCCGGGAGGTGCCTCTTGGTGACGGGAGATGGTGGGGTGACCGACGTCCCCGTCTCCCCAGTATTACACCTGCAGCTGCATCCTGGCCTTCATCGCCTGCTCTGTCTTCCTGCGGATGAGCCTGGAGCTGAAGGTCGTGCTGTTGACAGTGGCCTTGGTGGCCTACCTGGTGCTCTTCAACATCTCCCCGTGCTGGCAGTGGGACTGTTGTGGCTACAGCCTGGGCAACCTCACCAAGACCAATGGCACCCTCAGGTGGGGCTCAGACCCCACACTGCCGGGACCCCTGCCCACTGCCTGTCTCGACTGTGGCCCATCGTAGCACTTTTTGTCTTGTCTTAGTGTCATTTCAAACTAAGGTGTTTTTGCATTCACAGTCCCCTCTGGACCGGACACCTTGTGGGCTGGACCGGCAGGTGGCATGGTTTCCGCTTTACAGAAGGGGAAGTGATAGGCTCAGGCCCTGGGTCTGCAGCACTCAGAGCTGAGTGTGACTCATTTGCAGGGGGTGTCCCTGGTCCCAGGAGGCCACCTGGGTTACCCTGTCTCTAGGCCAGCCTGGGGGCGGGAGGCGGAGGCTTCAGCTGTAGCCCAGTCCCCTGTTTGCGCCATGTCCTGGGTCTCCAGAGCTCTGGAGAGAGCAGTTGGCTCTGGTCTCTTCCCAGACTGATGCGAGGGGCTGGCGTGTGCGTGGTTCTGGGGGCTCTGGGCCTCAAGTGGATTGAGGAGCGGGGGCCTGGCTCCCCTTGAACTAAAAGGCAGGAGCCTGGGGACCCAGAACTAGGTGTGCTCCCGTGGATCTGGCTTGCACCTGCACATTGCTTCTGCTGACCTGCAAGGCCTGTGGCCGCTCCCCTGCCTGCCTAGAGTGCTTTCCTTCAGACTTCGCCATGAATATCCCTTGAGACCCAGGTGTGAGCTCAGATGTCACCTCCCTGTCAACTGTACGTCCCCCTTTTCTTTACAACCTGAAGCGTCCTGTTTGCCAACCCCGAGAATGTGAGCTCCAAGGGCAACAATCTCCCATCTTGTTCACTTTCCCGTGGGCTGGTCCTGCGTCTGGGCCTCGTGCCATCCCCTGAATGTGGGGGGCTTTGGGCAGAAGTGGAGATGACGCCTGCCTTTCCCCTCATATCCAGCAGCTCCCCGTCCTGTTCATGGGATCTGAAGACAATGATCAATTTCTACCTGGTCCTGTTTTACACCACCCTCATCATGCTCTCCAGACAGGTACGGCCCAGGAGGCGCCCTCTGCGTCCCTAGCTCTACCTGGCTGCTTGTACCTCTTTCTGGAGAGGCCGGGGGTGGGGCTGGGGCTGCCTCAGATTTGGAGCAGCACACAGGACTGCAGTCTTTCGGGGACCTCCGGTCCCCTGGGTCGGGGTCCTTGGGCAAGTGTCCTTACCTCCCATCAGGACACGAGTGACATTTAATCCTGTGGGTCACTTGGCTGACTGGGGAGTGGCTGTTGAGTTGGGGACGTTTGCCAGGGGCACAGGCTGCAGTGCTGATGGGCCGGCTCCGAAGCCCCCAGGGTTACGAGTGCACTCTGCCCTCGCTCACTGCTGCCGGGACACCGATGTTCCCTTCTGTCCGCAGATTGACTATTACTGCCGCTTGGACTGTCTGTGGAAGAAGAAGTTCAAGAAGGAACACGAGGAGTTTGAAACCATGGAGAATGTGAACCGCCTTCTTCTAGAGAATGTCCTGCCAGCCCATGTGGCCGCCCACTTCATTGGTGACAAGTTAAATGAGGTGTGGGTGAGAGGGGGCTCAGTCACTAGGACAGGGAGACTGACGGTACAGATGCAGTCCCGTGGAGGGACGCGCTATAGCTACAAGGTGCTTTCTGCACTTGGTTTCCATGGCTCTTGGCCTCACTGATGCGCCCAGGAGACCATGTGTGGTGTTAGCTGTAAGAACACAGGCTTTGGATCGGAGACTAGGGTTCAGGTGTGATTGTGGACAAGATCTCTCACTGCCCTGGGCCTTGATTTTCACATCTATAAAATGGGGCTGATAGTACTTGGCTGGCAGGATGGTTGCAAGGATCAAATGTCCAGGTATTTGCAATCTGGACCATCTGTTGATGAAAACATGCATTTTTACCAATTCTGTGTAGCAGAGAGTTTTTTTATCTATGGAAACTCGGGCCCAGTGGGCATGGATCCCAGGCCTCCTGTTACCTTCTGCCACCCACGGGTTCTCAAGCCCAGCTGTACAGACCCAGGGTACTTAAAGGAGCCCCAAACCAACCTGAGTCTGACCCTCCCCGACACATTGATTCAGAATCTCCTATTTGTAACGGCCCCCACTTGAGTCCCATGTACAGCCAGCATCTGTTCCTGGAGCGCACGGAATCGCCTCCCGTCTGCTTCCCCCCGCCACCTGCCCCAGCGAGGTCTGGTGGCCACAGGGTCATGTTTCTACCCACCTCCAATCCAGGACTGGTACCATCAGTCCTATGACTGCGTGTGTGTCATGTTTGCATCCGTGCCGGACTTCAAAGTATTCTACACGGAGTGCGACGTCAACAAGGAAGGGCTGGAGTGCCTGCGCCTGTTGAACGAGATCATAGCTGACTTTGATGAGGTAAGGCCTCCCTCCACACAGCCTGGAGAGGGCAGGGTGGGGCCGGGGGCACCCTGCGCCCACTGAACACGTGTGCTGCGGCGCCCTTGGGGAGAACACATGGTACACAAATTATAAAACGTACCTACACGTTTGCTTGTTTGTTTTGTCACGATGTAATTTATCTTCTCTGTGAGGGGCAGCTTGCTTAGGTTTAGGTTGTAGAACAGTCTGATTTCCTGCTAAGCCCATGCTAGCAACCTGTTTCAAAGGAAGTCACTCAGTTTGGGCTTAACTCTTAGCTGCAAATAATCGACATTCCTGTGTAGATACTGTTGGGTGGGGTGTTTGCTCCTTCGCAGGAATGAGACCAGATGAGAATGGAAGAGACAGGGAATGTCAGGGAACAGAGACGAGGGAGCAGCAGGGAGAGAACCCAGAGGCTGTGTCCCCACCTGTATGGAGGTGTGAACTCAGGTGGGAAGGGCCCCGCATGAGAAATGTTTGCATTAGGAGTGGTGGTGGGAGAGAATCCTACACCCTTCTCAGAACCTGGGACAGGCCTGGGCTGCAGCTGTGTTATATGGCCTGCTTCCTTTCGTCTTATAGCTGCTGTTAAAGCCCAAGTTCAGTGGTGTGGAGAAGATCAAGACCATCGGCAGCACGTACATGGCAGCTGCAGGGCTCAGCATCCCCTCAGGGCACGAGAACCAGGTACCCAGGCAATCTGGTGGTCTCATGTCCCAGCCCCAGATGAGGGGAAATTCAAGACAGCCCCAGACCGACACCTCTCTGTGCCCCCTCCTTTGAGGGAAGGGCAGAGGAGCTCATGGCTCAGCCTGAGGGAGCCTTTTGGTGGAGGGGTTGGGGCAGGCGGCCCCTCACCAGGAGGGGAGCTTAGGTGGGGGAGCAGGTCCTAGACCCTCTGTGGAGGAGCCTCGGTACATCTCTGCCCATCAGTGGTCCCCCATGGGTTTCATGCCCAGGCTGGCACACAGTGCTCAGCAGGTCAGGGTGTTCTGGAGCGTCCGTCTGACAGCCGGTGGAGGCAGGAAGACGGGGTGTGATTGGGCCTGGCCCCACGGAGTGCTCTGTCCTGCAGGACCTGGAGCGGCAGCATGCCCACATCGGCATCATGGTGGAGTTCAGCACCGCCCTGATGAGCAAGTTGGATGGCATCAACCGGCACTCCTTCAACTCCTTCCGCCTCCGAGTTGGTGAGGTCCTGGGAAGGCGGGCTGGGCCTGAGCTCCGGGTGGGACTGTGCAGCTCCTGCCTCCTGGCAAATCCACTCTCAGTCCGGTGTATGTTGCCATCTGCTATGAAAAGTTTTAGAAATCCCTTTCTGATCTTAAAACCCCAGTGACTGGGTAATAAGAATTCTTTGCCTACTATTTATGAAGTTACCTTGGCAAGTTTTAAGTAAACAGGAATGTATCACTACGGGGACTGGAAAGCCCAAATCCCTGGCTGTAAAGAGGTGACCTTGAATACACTGAGAACAAAGCAAAATCATTAACCTAAGTAGTCACTGTTAGCTAACGGGGTCTGTGCTCAAAGCCCATTTACTGTTCAAAAGATTAGTAGATATAAGAAGTGTTAACAGTGGACTCAGGTTTCACATCCAGCACAGTCTGGAAAAGAACTGCCCAGGGAGCGCTCTCCTCCCATCCCAAGTACCACCTCCTGTCAGACTCAGGAAGCACCCTTCCAACCTTCATTGCAGTTGTTCTGTCAACGCTTTCTGTGGTTGTCGGGTGGATTCTGTGGCCTTATAAGCCTGAGGCTTTGCCTCTATGATCTGCTAACTGCAAACATGTTCTTTAGGCATAAACCATGGGCCCGTGATTGCTGGAGTGATTGGGGCACGAAAACCTCAGTACGACATCTGGGGAAACACGGTCAATGTTGCCAGTCGAATGGAGAGCACTGGAGAACTTGGGAAAATCCAGGTAAAAGCTCACCTGGGGAAACCTGTGCCCAAGGGGGAAAGAACTTCCCGGAGGTGAGGGAGCCTGGGCATCAGTCAGCTGTGGGATTCTAGCCACAGAATTCTCGAGGGAAACCAGACCCCGTCGGCCGATTTCTCTTCATCCCTCCCACAGCAGATTTTCTTTCTGCTTCTGAAGACATAGGTTTCTTTTCCTTTTCAGGTTACTGAAGAGACGTGTGCCATCCTCCAGGGACTCGGTTACTCTTGTGAATGCCGCGGACTGATTAATGTCAAAGGCAAAGGCGAACTGCGGACTTACTTTGTCTGTACGGATACTGCCAAGTTTCAAGGGTTGGGGCTGAACTGAGGGCTTTAGGTAGGCGCAGAACGTGCTGGAAGCCCATTTCCTTCCCTGAAGCAAGCCAGGGGGAAGGCTCAGCCCCACGTCGGTCACAAAGGCAGTCCAAGGGTTTGGCCATTACCACCCCTAGCAGGTGGTTGTGCATGGCTTCCTTGAACTGGCACTAGAGGATTTCTCAGCTTGAGGCGACCACCAAGCCTTACACACAGGCAGCCAGAACCTCTGTGCTGTCGGGAGTCTGCAACTCGGCCTCCAGCACAGCAGGGAACAGCTCATTTGTGAGTTTTAGACCCTCATCCCCCCAGGTGCTGTGGATGAGACCTCAGAGCATGACCTGGAGACCCCTGCCCACCCCTACTCCCCCTTGGCCTGTGAGCTGCACAGGCGAGACTCGTCTTTCTTTTCTTGTCCGGGATGGGTGGAGACTCCTTTCTCCCCAGCAGAACAGCTAGAAGAGTCCACGTTTCTCATACAGGCATTCTGGTAAAGAGCTGAAAGGGTGCTTGTTTTAAATCTATAAATGGTTTCAAGCAATTGGGAGAAAACCCCCCAGTGGACACTTCTTACTTCTTGTCATCTTTGGTATGTGTCTGTTTTAAATGGATACATTGTTAATGGAGGTATTTCTTATCCTTTAAATGACTTCTGAGATGCTAGACAAATTATCTTCTCTGCAGCGTAGTCTCTGCCTTTGTAACCACTGACACGTAAGTGGGACCACTGTCCAGTGTGAGCATATGAGATCAGCTCAGCTGTGGGATGGAGCTCAGAGGAATGCGGCTCATAGCAGGAAGGCAAGGAGTGTCACAGCCTTGGCTTTGAATCAAACAACTTTGAAGCCAGAATTCTGAGATTAGGTTTAATATGAGAAAAGCCTAGAAAATAAGGTATAAGCTCTTAGCCCTTCCTTGACTCCTCATGCATTTTTGAGCACCCGCTGCAACCTTCAACTCTGTCGTAGCTTTGTACTGGAAAGGAATGGAGTCTGTGTGGAGAGAAGCTGGACAGCCTGTAGTTCTTTCCTTTCCTTCAGTCCTCATAGCTAGCTCTGAAGAGCTTCAAAACTAAGAGCATCTACTCAGCATTAGCACGTGTAGAGGTTCCTGTATCTGGGAGGCCAGCCCTCTCACAGGTGCTCAGATGGCCTTGTTCTCAACTGAATGAATCAAGGCAAGGGAAGACGCCAGGTCTGTGAGGTGGTGTCTTACAGCACTTTAGCTCTAAAAGAATGGAAAGAAGTCTACCTATGTTGTTTCAAGGTGAGAAATAATAATAACCAAACTGCCCTTTCCGTTTTCTGAACTGACGTCATTGCCTCATAACCACAGTATCCCTGGGGTTTCTGATAAATACAGCTGGATTTCACTATCCAGCAGGAATTCTTAGCCAGAAGTCATCCATGAACTCCCCTGAAATTATACAGAAAACCTTGCATACGTGAGGCTTCAAAAGATTACACGACGTTGCAGACAGGTGACTGAGCAGCCAGGTCTGCCTGGGACGGAGGGCTGTGGGGTGAGCTGGCACCCCAGCCACGGGCAGGGAGGGGACTGAAGCCCAAGCTGTTGCCTGCTGGTGCTGTGTCTTGTTGGGAGCTGGGTGGGCTAGTGGCAGCTCTGATGCTCTGCATGAAACTGGAATAGGTAGGAATAAATCACAAGAACTTGCTGGCCTAAAGGAATTGCATTGTGAAAACGCTGGTAAGGGAAATAAGCCGTACTTAAATTGCCTTTTTTACACACCAATTCTTCATCTAAGTACTATGCTGAAATCTATACCCTTAAAATCAGGAGTGACCAGGGCTGCTCAATAGGGCTCTCCTGGGAAGTCAGGAAGGTTCTGTCACGGATATGGTGTAGACACACATCAGTGTGCTGGGCCTCTCTGAGGTGGGCATACTTCTGCTCTTGCAATATGCAAATTACTTTCTTCCTCTGGCAAAGAAATCCCAGTTGGGAGTTTTAAAAAATAATTGGTTACCATATATGTATTTTTCTTTCACTGTGCTCAGATAAGAATATTGTTTTGAGGGTTTTTTTTGTTTTGTTTTGTTTTTGCGGTACGCGGGCCTCTCACTGTTGTGGCCTCTCCCGTTGCGGAGCACAGGCTCCGGACGCGCAGGCTCAGCGGCCATGGCTCACGGGCCCAGCCGCTCTGCGGCATGTGGGATCTTCCCAGACCGGGGCACGAACCCGTGTCCCCTGCATCGGCAGGCGGACTCTCAACCACTGCGCCACCAGAGAAGTCCCTAAGTTTTGAGTTTTTGATGATCAGATCATAGTGTGTAACTGACCATAAAAATCACTTAGTTATTTTTCAAAAATTTGTTTTCCAATTACCAAGTCATTTCTTCACAGGTGTCATTTTGCTTTATGACAAGTATCTTTCCTAACACTGACGTTCTCTATGGGTCAGGGACCTGCTTCAGATTTCTACTGAGGTGGCCTCACTGATGCTAGTGAAAATCACACCTGAAGTTTTCTGGTTTACTTATTAAGAACATTTCCTAACAGACAAGCTCATTAACCACTGTATACATTGTGTATATGTACAGAAATATGCTTTGAGAAAGTACATGCAAATGACTAGGGGTTATTCTATATACTGAATATTTATAGACCTGTAACATTTGTTTCAAAATGTTATAATTTCATTTTTATAAAGCACCAGTGTTTCTCCTTTGTTTAGCTTTTCAGAGATTAAATTAGCAATTTGGAAAACCTGATGTCCCAAGGTTTTTTTTTTGTCAGTTTTTTTTTTTAACATCTTTATTGGAGTATAATTGCTTTACAATGGTGTGTTAGTTTCTGCTTTATAACAAAAAGTGAATCAGTTATACATATGTTCCCATATCTCTTCCCTCTTGGGTCTCCCTCCCTCCCACCCTCCCTATCCAGGTGGTCACAAAGCACCGAGCTGATCTCCCTGTGCTATGCGGCTGCTTCCCACTAGCTATCTACGTTACGTTTGGTAGTGTATTTATGTCCATGCCACTCTCTCACTTTGTCCCAGTTTACCCTTCCCCCTCCCCATATCCTCAAGTCCATTCTCTAGTAGGTCTGTGTCTTTATTCCCGTCTTACACCTAGGGTCTTCATGACCTTTTTTCCTTCGATTCCATATATATGTGTTAGCACATGGTATTTGTTTTTCTCTTTCTGACTTACTTCACTCTGTATGAGACTCTAGGTCCATCCACCTCACTACAAATAACTCAATTTCGTTTCTTTTTATGGCTGAGTAATATTCCATTGTATAGAGGTGCCACATCTTCTTTATCCATTCATCTGATGATGGACACTTAGGTTGCTTCCATGTCCTGGCTATTGTAAATAGAGCTGCAGTGAACATTGTGGTACATGACTCTTTGAATTATGGTTTTCTCAGGGTATGTGCCCAGTAGTGGGATTGCTGTGTCGTATCTTAGTTTTTTAAGGACCCTCCATACTGTTCTCCGTAGTGGCTGTATCAATTCACATTCCCACCAGCAGTGCCAGAGTGTTGCCTTTTCTCCACACCCTCTCCAGCATTTACTGTTTCTACATTTTTTGATGGCCATTCTGATGTGTGATGGTATCTCATTGTAATTTTGATTTGCATTTCTCTAATGATGTTGAGCATTCTTTCATGTGTTTGTTGGCAATCTGTATATCTTCTTTGGAGAAATGTCTATTTAGGTCTTCTGCCCATTTTTGGATTGGGTTGGTTTTTTTTTGTTATTGAGCTGCATGAGCTGCTTGTAAATTTTGGAGATGAATCCTTTGTCAGTTGCTTCATTTGCAAATATTTTCCCCCATTGTGAGGGCTGTCTTTTGGTCTTGTTTATGGTTTCCTTTGCTGTGCAAAAGCTTTGAAGTTTCATTAGGTCCCATTTGTTTTTGTTTTTATTTCCCTTTCTCTAGGAGGTGGGTCAAAAAGGATCTTACTGTGGTTTATGTCACAGAGTGTTCTGCCTATGTTTTCCTCTAAGTTTGATATCAGTTTCTGGCCTTACATTTAGGTCTTTAATCCATTTTGAGCTTATTTTTGTGTATGGTGTTTGTTAGGGAGTGTTCTAATTTCATACTTTTACATGTACCTGTCCAGTTTTCCCAGCACCACTTACTAAAGAGGCTCTTTTCTCCACTGTATGTTCTTCCCTCCTTTATCAAAGGTAAGGTGAACGAACATATGTGCGTGGGTTTATCTCTGGGCTTTCTAAGCTGTTCCACTGATCTATATTTCTGTTTTTGTGGCAGTACCATACTGCCTTGATTACTGTAGCTTTGTAGTATAGTCTGAAGTCAGGGAGCCTGATTCCTACGGTGTTCTGAATTTAAATGTTTTCTTGGTCTTCGGGAACTTACCTTATTAGCTAAGTAGATCTAAAGTTTGAGTCGGTTACTGCCTGAATTATGTTTGAGAGACAAACTCTAAAAAGACTTGATAAATACATATTTGAACTGATTCTTGAATTCTCTTGGCATATGATTTCAAGTATGTTTTTGAAAGATTAGGTCATCTTAACTCTCTTGAGAGATTCAATTTTCCTTCACCCTACTTGTTAAGTGTTAGTTTTCAAAGTCATGAAAATAATAAAATAGCTTCCTGCCTGGATGTTTTATAGAAGGGCTCCATGCAGTCTGAGTAGGGTCTTAAGCTTAATTTGTTCACTGAACTAGGCTACAGTCTAGTGCCTGGTTATAGAAGAAGACCGCATCATCGTCTCCTACTTAAGTAATCAGACTGCTCGGGCACTTGACCTTTGCATTTCAGGTAAAAGTAGATGAGTATTAGTTTAGGGTGTATGGCAGAAGCATAGGTAACCTGTGAGAAACAGTAAATAGAAACGTAAACTTTCCTTTAAGCTTGGTGATTTCCTTATGTATTCATGGATGATTTAGTTTGTTATCTTATTTGGCTTATCCTTCTACTGTAGTTCCAAATAACCCTCTGACAAATGGCAAAAACAAACCAAAAAGGAACACTAGACAAGTTAGTGCTATGAAACTCCTGATATGTTCTGTTTGTTTTTTTTCTGTGGTGGTGGGAAGCCCCTAATCCTTCTACATAAGGACATCATTCCCAACAGGTATACAGGGGACACACTAGTAAATTCTAAAGTTATTTTAAGTGTATTTGTTTTCATGGCATAACAATGGAAAATCTCATTGGATGGGGATTTTAAAGAAGAGTTTCTCAGTCATGGTCCTGCCTGTGAAACATAAGGAAGCAGCACTATCACTGCTCTGCAAGAACTTTGCCCAGGTCCACTCCCACCCACTTTCTGCTCAGTATGGCAACAGGTCAAAATCATTCATTCCTCACAAGGCCACTTTTTGAATAAATCATCAAGGTGAAATCTGGTAAGTCAGGAACCATTTGGTTATAATTTCCTTAATGAGAAGTACGGCAAATGTGGCAAAATGAGGGATTTCAGTTATTTGGGGGAACTTCTTTTAATGGATGGTCATAAAAAGGCTGTTCTATTTTTTGAGATTTTCTCTATCATTTCATCCTCAGATTTAGCCCCAGGGAAAGGTGAAGGGGTAACTTAGCTGATATGCACAATACAGCTCACAGTCCCAGGTTCAGCTTTATTACCTAATAGAAGTCCAATCTCTGGAACATTAAAATTAATTGCTCCAAAGTTTAATTAAAAACACAATTTACAAATATTTAATATCTTCTGAAAAAGCATTTCCAAGTTAAGAATGAAAAAATATATACATAATATATAATCAAATACCAGTTAGCTTCAAATCCCATCAGGTCCACACTCAGTAACATCAGTCTTTTTCGGTTCTTCAAAATCTGGAAGAAAAAACCCCCTTCATTCAGTACTTTTTTCCTTTTAATTAGAAAAGGTATGTGACGGTAAAAAAAGGGTAACTGTTGATAGCCCTTCTTTACTATGTTCAAGGTTAAAGACTAGGTGCATCACTGTGGCTTTTTTTTTTTTTTTTTTTGCAAATGTGGTGAAATCTTTATTCCTTAGACAGGATGGAAAGAAAACTAAATAGTTTATATGTTAACAGCAGAGACAAAACCTTTCAGGTGTTACTTGGAGGGGGAAGACCAATGTTTACTTTTACTCACACTTATTAGCCCTCCACTCTCCCAGAAACACAGGGCACGTACCTTCTGTTAAATCTACAAAGGTGTTTTCAACCACCGGGGAGGGGATGGAAATCCCCATTGCTTTTCGGACTCCGTACATGCTTACAATATCACCCGGAGTTACTTGCTGTGCAAGTTCTTTAAGGTTATTGGTCACTTGTTCAGCTGGAAAGAAAAATCAACATAAAGACAGTTCAAGGTACTGAAATGTGGTTCCTTTAGATAACTTAAAAAAGAAAAAAACAAAAGCCCAATAAATATATAAGTGGCAAAAAATAAACTGCCCATGGTATTCACTTCAGTGTTACTTTATTGTGGTATCACTACTCAGAAATTTTCCCTTTAAGCACCCTTATTCTCCTACCAGAGGTACAACATACCAAGATGCATTTCTCTGTATGAGGGACCCAAGAGACAGATCATGTTGGGAGGGGGTCTGGTGCTCAAACGCTCATTCTGGGCTTCCTGGAGCTCTCTGAGCAGTTTGGTGGTCTCATCAAGTTTCCTCTGGAACACTTCAGCTTCTGTGTGGTAAGAAAAATAACTTACTAAGGACAACATGGACATACTTGTATTTGATCTTGTGCAATAAATTGAGTACTATGCTCTGGGGTTTTGCTATTTATTGGTTAGTCTTCTCTCCTCAAAGGAGTAATCCCCCTCAAATGAAATCAACACCACAGACATGCTTTACTATTCCACTGAAGCATGGCCAGTCAAGATGTTCCTGTAGTGAATGGCTATGTTAATCTGTGCTACTGTGACATCAAATCTTGACTGCCTGTGTCATGAAGTATTTCCTTCAAACCCTCTGGAGACACTTACCTTCCGAGTCAAAAACTTCAACTGGAGCTCCAAAGTTTGCTACTGCTTTCAGTGCTGTAAGCCTGTCTTGACTATTGGAGTCTAAATGCCCTGTTGGTTCGATTTCTGTAATCTGCTTTAAAAAAAAAAAAAAGATTAATT